AGAGGAAGAAGCTGGACAAGGTCATCAAGACGTCCAGCTCTGTCCTGGGCTGTTGTCTGGACTCAGTGCAGGAGGTGGGGGACAGGAGGGTCCTGACTAAGGTCACCTCTATGCTGGGCCATGAGTCTCACCCCCTGCAGGACGCTCTGTCTGCTCTGGAGAGCAGCTTCAGTGACAGACTCATTCACCCTCGCTGTGTGAAGGAGGTTTCACAGGTCTTTCCTTCCTGCTGCTGTCAGACTTTACAACAAACACTGTTCACACTGAACATGTACCAGTCAATCATAACCATGTGCAATTATTTTTAAGTCTATTTTTAAATTATTTTTAAGCTATTATTTATTATCTGTGTTACCTTTTCCTGCTGTTCTGAAATAGTATGTTGCAACACTGGAATTTCCCCACTGTGGGACTAATAAAGGCATATCTTATCTTATCTTATCTTATCTTATCTAAAGAATGTTTATATATAGATCTTATGTACAAAGGAGGTTGGTATAGATAGAATTTATGTATGTAGGAGGTTGGTATAGATCGTATGCATATAGGAGATTGGTATAGACAGATCTTATGTACAAAGGAGGTTGGTATAGATAAACTATATGCATATAGGAGGTTGGTATAGATAGATTGTATACATAAAGGAGGTTGGTATATATAGATCTTATGCATATAGGAGGTTGGTATAGATAAACTCTATGCATATAGGAGGTTGGAATAGATCATATGCGTATAGGAGGTTGGTATAGATCGTATGCGTATAGGAGGTTGGTATAGAACGTATGCATATAGGAGGTTTGTATAGATAGATCTGATGTGTGTGCAGGGGGTGGAGCGGTTAATCCTCCTGAATTAGATCTATCCCAGATTACTCCAAAGGTCACGCAGCTCCGAGTCTTTTCACTAACTCAGCACAAACACACACAGCGCTAATCTGACCCATCTACTCTCTCACTACACACACTCCACTGTGCTTCATTATTGAATACACCACACACAGATAACACTAGGGCTGGGTATCATTAAAATATTCCAGGTACCATAATTTGAACACCTGGTTTTGGTGTCAGTACCTGAACAATATTGTTTTACCTTTTCGTGTATTAAAGATGCACTGTGTAACTTGCCTTCACTGAAATGTTATTGCAAGAATTTCCCACACTATCCCTTTAAACTCATCTATTTCCATGGAGATAACCCCACAATGCCTCCAGGCCAAGTTAGAGGTCAGGTCTATGGAGAGGTGAGCACTCACTCACTTGTTTTTTAAAGTATTTTTAAGCAGTAAAACACCTTGAATAAAATAAACACAACATACATGAGTCTGACGCTATACTGCGATACCTTTCGGGCAAAGTAATCATATCTCCATGGAAACAAATTTGTGGTGGACCCTCTACCAGAAAAGTTACACAGTGCACCTTTGACATATTAGAAAAACTAAAATCATTATTTAGTTTACTTTATTCAAGCTCATGCACATTGTACATTATCACAAAATGTTAGGAAGTACCTCAAAGATATGTTACATGGTCGACCAAATTTCAAGTTCATTATTGACATAAGTGGATCATTTTATTACATATCCTGTCCCGCCCTGATTTTGAAAAAGACTATTACAACTCCCTCCTCTCCGGCCTCGACTCAAACTGGTTGAGAAGCAGCAGCTTGGCTCCTCACTGGGTTTAACAGACATCAACACTTGACCCGTTTTACTTCACTTCACTGGCTCCTGTGGGTTTTAGAATTGATTTGAAGATTTTACTGATCACTTTTAAAGCTCGATTAGGTCTTGCACCAAGTTACATTTCAGAACTTTCAACCCTTAGATCCTCAGGCAGGTCCCGGTTCACTGTTCCAAAGTCCAGGCTCCGGACGAAGGTGATGGAGCCTTTTCAGTCCTCGGCTTTGGAACGACCTGCCTGAGGAGATAAGGCTTGGTTGGCCTTCTTTTAGCTTGTTTTACCTTGATTTTATTTCTTATTTATTTTTATTCTACGTCAGGAGGGGGTCTCGCTCAGGGCGCCAATCAGTATAAGATTGCCACTTTGTCCGATAATCAGGAAGTGTGTGCATGCTAGTTGCTGCTACCTTTACCATGACAGCAAAACTCCGCTCTGGTCTCTGAAAGTTTCTCTTCCCTTTCTTCTCCCCCTCCACCTCTACTCTCCTCTTCCTACTCCTCCCTCTCTTCTTCTTCTCCTCCTCTTCCTCCTTTCTCTACCTCCGGTCTCAATAACAGAGCTTATAGTGCAGTTCAGGGCTGTTCTTTTGTCCTCAAGTCACCTTCGTCTAAAATAAAACCAGCCCGACTCCCTTTGCTCCGTGCGGTGGGAGAGAGCACAAGTTTAAACCTCCCCACAGGGCGGATCTGTCCCTGGCTTTATCAAACTCTCCTCCTCTCTCACAACTTTCTCTTCGTCCTCCTCCTCCTCCTCTTCTCTCCTCCTCTTCTTCTCTTCCTCCTCTCTCACCTCTGCAGAAAGCATCCCCCCTCCTCTTTTACTGTCAAATACTGGAGCCAAGATATGAGGCTGAAATACATTACGGACTCAATGATTTGTGAACTATTATGATTTGTGAACTACTGTTAACATTTTTCCTCAGTGCATGGAGGCGCTGCTTTGTTTTTTGAAGTATATAATAGATTTGTAGTTGGAAGCACTAGATCTTGTTCAGAATTGTGCTATAAAAATAATACAGTCTGATATTAATATTAGAAAGCTCTTTACGTCACACTGTAAACCCAAATAAGTTACCAGAACTTAAAATAACTAAGGCAATCGATTGGCTCAATTATTTCAAGTTGATGAACTTAAAAGTCACAATTTTCCTGAACTTAAAAGGTTGGATGGCTTGTACCTTTTGATAACTCAAATATTTGTAGTTAGAGTTTTCAAACATCTGGAATAATTGATTTAATGTTCAGTTTTATATGTAATCCATGATTTTTGTACACACATTGTACACACAATCCAGTACATCCAGGTAATATAACATATTAATATTACATACATACTTACATACTTGACACATTATAGTACACACCTAGTACATTATACACACATTACATATTATTTTTTCATTGCTTAATTCTACTAAGTTGTACCTCATCTATGTTTTTAAGTTACGCTCACTTACACACAAAATAGTTCCCTTTAACCAAAAAATATGAGTTCAAACTACTCAAAAAGAAGAACATGTTAAACAATGTTCCCTATAATTTTTCATGTGTCTGGGCATACAGACAACCTCCGTGAGCACACTGAGGACCACTGTGAGCTGTGGCCACACACCAGTATCACACCTGGGATCATAGCAAGTTTCATGACTTATCAAAAGAATCAAATCAAACAGCAATTTCCATTAGTTTACTTTTAATATAACTTATTTGGCCCACTTAAAATGAAAAAGACAAAAACTGTTGATTGAAAATTGTTGTCATGAGATTTTGTAGTATGTTATGTGAGAGTCCTGCTTTGGCCTAGGTCAGTGAGGTCCAGTTTTGGCCTAGGTGAGGGTCTTGCTCTGGAAGAAATGAGACACATACACCTTTAAGACAGAACATTTTGTTCACATTAAAACATTCACATTTTCCACAATGATGTGTGCTGTAGCTTGTGTCTTTTATTAGCATTTCTACTACCAATAAATGATCTACTCATAATAGAATTTAATGATTAATATCCATAAATAAAACATCTTAATAAATCTCACTAGAATATGCACAAATTTGACTTAAATTTGACCTTATTTTTCACATCTATCCTTTTCACTTCTCCAATGTTTGTACACTTTGTCCAGGTTGATGGCTCCGTCTGCTTCTTGCTTTGACTTTATGCGCATCAGCAGTTTCACTGCTTGTTCTTCTATTTGCACATATTCCGACATTCATTCCATCTTAAAAGAACTTTTTACTTTGGTTTGGTGAGTGGATGTATCACATTCACTGCCCGTTCGTTTCGCCATGATAAGGGGTTAGCATTAGTGTCACTTAACTCTGCCGCACTGTTATTATTGTTATATAGCACGTGTGGGCAGAGCACGTGCACAAGTAGTGTCATTGCCATGATTGGCTGCGTAGCGTAATCCAGCCAATCATACGTATCGTATGATTGGCTGGACACATGTCACTCACTGAGTTACACAGCAAAATGACACAGAAAAAAATGTTATAGATCTAATTCATTTGCAGTGTGCTGCATAGGTTTTCTTGTGCGCTGAGAGTGTGCGAGCAGTGAGCAATTGCGCAGTTGCGCAGCTTAGAGGGAACATTGATGTTAAAGCAACTTGACAATTAAGTTAGCAGGACTAGATCTAAAACTTTGACTATACACAACTTAATCTAATTACTTTGAAAGTTCAGGTTTACAGTGAAAGGTTGGATGGCTTGTACCTTTTCATAACAGTTGAATTAAAAATGCTCATTTAGCTCAACTCAAATATTTGCTGTTAGAGCTTCCAAACTGGAATAAGCTATTTAATTTTCAGTTTTATATGTAATCCATGATTTTTGAACACACATGGTACACACAATCCAGTACATCCAGCTGCAACTACACACATTATAGTATACACAAAGACACATCATAGTACACACACATTGTACACACCTTAGAAGGGGGATTTGAACCCGGGACCCCCATGTGAAAGTCAGGGGATTTACTAGTCTCATCAATATTATATCATATGTATAAAGTTTAATAATATATATACATGCATACATACATACGTTACACATTATAGTATACACATAGTACATTATACACACATTACATATTATTTTTTAACTACTTAATTCTACTACCTCATTTCATGTTTTTAAGTTACACTCACTTATACTCACAATAGTTCCTTTTAATCAAGAAATATTACTTAAAATTCCTAAAAAAGAAGAACATATTACAGCAACTTGACATAATTAAGTTAGCGGGACTACACAACCTAATATATTTAATTACTTTGGATGTTCAGGCTTTTTTTTTTTTTCTTTTTCTTAGGATTCCCATTTCAGCAGCTTTGTGGACGAGCTGACGGAGTATTCCACCAAGAACATCCTGGCAGTGCCCATCATGAACGGGAAGGACATGGTGGCAGTGATGATGGCCGTCAACAAACAGGAGGAGCCCCACTTTGATAAGAAAGACGAGGAGGTAAATCAACGTGAAACATTTAAAGCTGCATTGTGTAACTTTTCTATTGCAGGGTCCGTCGAATGCTTTTTCCCATGGCAGTGTAATTTGTCTGTTTAGTCCTGGTTTAGTCCTTTTTTAGTCTTGGGTTAGTCCAGGTTGTTTTACTTCCTGATGTGTAACTAAAAGAGCTGGGAGATACAGCAAAAAAATAACCATGACTTTTCTTTGTTTTGGTCAACCACAATTTTGAATTCAGTTTTATTTTCAACAATACTGGACCCACACTGCAAAATGAAATCAACATTTCAGCAAAACATGTTACATCACACTGAATAGTTAATTAGTTTTGAATAAAATACATTAAAACAGTCTTAAAATTGTCTTTTATTTAGGGAAGGGTGATATCGGTTCCAGTTTTGGTATCGGTATCGGCGTATAAACAGTCCAACTTTATTTGTATTCCAAATAACAAGACATTCTTCACTTGCCGCTTGATCGGTCTGTCGGAAAATAGAGTCCCGCGGTCACTTCCGTTGTGGCTTTTTAACGTGTTGCGGCATTTGCATTTGTGTTGTGGCGTTTGTATTTGTTGCGGCGTTTGCGTTAAAATAGAGTCCTGCGGTTTATTTTTGCAAGCCATAATCCGCGGCTTTTTTTCGGTAATTCCCTTGTTTGAGCTCCCTGATGAGTAATTTCAAGAGGAACAGTGAAGAAACAAATCGTTTTATCCCTTTCAGAGCATCTAGAATAGGGATGGGCATGATTAGTCGAATTAATCGATAATTGATCATTAAGAATTTAATCGATTACGTTCATTTTAATCGACAAACCGAATGTAGGTTGCTGTGTGTAGTGTGACCAAACAGGGTCTGTACATGTGTCTCTGCATCAGAAGGAGCAAGACACAAACAGTGGGTCAGTCTGCAACGTACCGAAGCACAAATGTGGATTTAACAATGATTTGTACAAGAAATTCCACACTTTCCGTTGCGTTCGGGACAAGTGTGAGTCCATGTGCACAGTGTATAAAGCAGCACATATGTTTCGGTGTCCAGTGGGAAAAAGATTTACCAGGTGAGAGTCGCTCAATGTCGATGACGAGTCCCCACCTCCCTCCCCCCGTACGGTGTCCTGATTTTGACAAACGTAAATATGGTCACACTAACCTGAGTCATGTCTTTTAATCTGACAGAAATTGACCACATCAGCGACACAAGAGCTGTAGTTTTATCTTCGCTTAGTTTATGCAAATTAGTGATGCGGTTTTAAGTTTCGTTTCTGTGAGAGTTGCGCAAAACTGAATTAAACACATTATAATGTCAAACGGGCTGATGTGGCTCTAGAGTCGTTACGGTTTATATGTCGTAAAGTTGAATTTATTTATGCAGATTAATAGTGCAGATAGTAATAATAATGATGATCATTTTAATATAAAAACGTTAATGATTAACCGATAATCGATCGTTAATTCGTCCGACGATCGATTAAGAAAATTTCATCGAATGCCCATCCCTAGTCTAGAACAACCAAATACACAACAAAACCTGCCCTGTTTCTCCGATGCTACTGAAGTCAATGGCACAGTGTGCCCGGTGTCATGGTGGTGTAGGTGGAAGGACACGTGATGGTGCAAAGCCTCTATTCAAGTAAAAACATGTTGTCTGCACTGAAATGAATCATGGGATATGTAGTTTCCGATGTCCAGAAGCTGTTGCTGCTATAAAACCTGCATTTAAACAAAGGAACTTGTGATTTTATATCTTGTGATGGTCCACAATATTACTGTGAGAATTCTGAGGATATGATATCATATTTTGGTTACTGTTACATCCCTATTTGGAAATCATCTTGTAATCTCCAGTCCAGGCCATACTCCACTTTACTTTATACAGAAGGTTCTAGGTTGGTCTAGTTTTGGTCTGGATTAATTTCATGGACCATTTAAAATCAGCCAGTAAAGATACACGAAGGTACTTTTTGAGGATTATGGAAAAGCTGAGAGGTTTTGGAACTGATTTGAAACCATATTTGACCCACTCTGTAGAAAAGCTCTTTTGATTGACTTGTATTGTGTTGTTGTATTTGTCATTTGAGCTGAGTGGTGCTGAGACTCGACTATTTCTGCTATAAAACCCTGATGCAGCAGCTTCCTCACTACATCAGCTAAACTCCTTGTTATGCTTTTGTGTTTCTGTATTTCTGTATTCCCAGACTCTCAACAAATACCTGAACTTTGCCAACCTGGTCTTGAGGGTCTTCCACCTGAGCTACCTGCACAGCTGTGAGACCAGGAGAGGGCAGGTACTACACAAGAAGTACTATTAATGATAATACTACTTTTATTTTTATTAATGCAGTATACTTTTGGATCAGATTTGATATTGATACTTGGTCTTGGGTCCATGGAGATATCATTGTTTTGTCTGGAATGTTTCACAGTATGGCATTAAACCTTTCTATCTTCATGGAGACCAAACCGGACCAAGTTACAGGTCAGATTTGTGGAGAGGCGACCCCGCTCACAGTCAGAATGTCTGTTTTTGTAGGTATTTTTGAGCTGTAATTTAATAAATGAAAGGGTAACACTTTATAATAACTACACCTTATTTAACCTTAATAAAGCATGAACAAAGGCTTAATTAACAATGAACAAAGATTTAATTAATAATGATTCACACTCACGTCACTTTCATCAAGGTATTTGCTATTTAAATTGTTTCATAGTTTATTTAATGAGAGAAGCACATTTACTGAACTAAAATGTTAAAAGAAAACATTTGCAGTGTGAGTGGCAGTAGAAACTGTATCTTCCAGCGCACATATAAACATGTCACTCGTCGTAGGACCCATGTTTTCTTTATTTCCTTGCTTATCCACAACTATGTCTTCTAGAATTAATCTCTTTTTGCGAGCGGATCTTTCTAACGTTCGCGAGGATCTTTTCATGGCCGATTCTTTCGAGGTTCGGCTCACAGACTCTTCGACTCTTGCGCCATGTAGATCAAAGGAGCCCAGTGTGGGTTTGTTGAATCGTAAACTAGTGCGGGTTTTCCTGGATAAATTAATGAAATTTTAGTTCAGTAAATGTGCTTCTTTCATTAAATAATCTATGAAACAATTTAAATAGCAAATACCTTGATGAAACTTCGGGTGTCTTGATGGTATCGTAGGAAATGTCTTTGCGGTTTATGTTCTGCTAGCTCATAATCCGCATCTTTTTTTCGATAATTTCCTTGTTTGAGCTCCTGATGAGTAATTTCCAGAGGAACAGTGAAGAAACGAATCATTTTATCCCTTTCAGAGCTTCTAGAACAACTAAATACACAACAAAACCTGCCCATGTTTCTCCGATGCTACTGAAGTCAATGACATAGTGTGCCCGGTGTCATGGCGGCGTAGGTACCGTTGCTATAGGGGACATGTGACAGTGCAAAGCCTCTATTGGGTCACAGAGTCATATGTTTATAGGAAATAATTTAAGAAAATATATCACTTGCAATCATGGAGGAATTTGAATTTTAGTTACATTGTCAGAGTAATAATAATTTTCTAAAACATTAGAATATTTGTTCTTATGAGTGTTTCTGACTGTTCATAGGATTTGTTCTTACAGAAGAACATTTTCAGATAAGAAAACAGTTTTGTGAATGCCAAAAATGTTCGTAAGAAGGACTGAAGTATTACAAATTTGTTCGTAAGAGCGTTTCACGAAAGAATGAAACAGCTAAATAAAGACATCAGGATCATGTGTCGCGGGTTAAAACGAACATTTTAGACCAAACGTACGGGCTCACTGCAGCAGTTACAGAGACAGGGGTGACAATTTTTCGATGTAAAGAGTCGATGGAGCAGGAAGCACAACCACGCTCACTTCCGATTTGGAACGTGGCGACTAGCGAGTTAGCTATGTCCATTTATGCAGGCTATGGTAGTGAGTGATAATAAAATGTGTGTTTAAAGTAGGTACATGTTTAAATCTGACGTGTTCTTGTCTCAGGTTTTGCTGTGGTCGGCCAGTAAAGTGTTTGAGGAGCTGACGGACATCGAGAGACAGTTTCACAAAGCTCTGTACACGGTGCGAGCCTTTTTAAACTGCGACCGCTACTCTGTGGGACTGCTGGACATGACCAAGACCAAGGTAACTTTAATACAACTAAACAGACGAATCAGTGAGGGTCAAGGGACAGTTATAGTTTAATTTTAAGTATAATATAGCAGAATGTAAAATGTAACACAAGGTCATGATGGGTAAGGTTAAAGAGCCCATATTACGGTACCGTATTTTTTAAACTAAAAGGCACACTTAAAATCCTTTAGTTTTCTCAAAAATCGACAGTGTGTTTTATAATCTGGTGCGCCTTATGTATTAATTCTGGTTGCGCTTACTGACCTCAAACTGATTTTATGTGGTACACGGCGCTCACATATCTGTCAAAATGTTTTAGTACAACTTTGGTAAACTACAAAGAATATACAAACAATATATGTCCATTCATATATATGGTCTGTGTGTACGACCTGCAGATTTATAATCCCTGAAAAATTTCACATGAATCATCTCTAGCGTGACAGAAGCACAGAACAGACTCACCATCAGCAGCACATCCTCTGTCACTCATATTCCACTGAGTCGTGTCCTTTAGTCCGACAGAAGCTGAACCGCATCAGCGCACAAGGAGTGAGCTGTTTTTTTCAGCGCTTATAGTTTATGCAAATGAGCCATGTGGTTTTAAGTTTTGTTTCTGTAAATCGTAAACAAATGTGGCAAAGCTGCATTAAACACATTATTACTCAATGTATATTTGAATCCTCCTCGTAGCAAATAATAATGATTTAAAAAAAAAAAAAAAAAAACTTAAATGATCACATTCACCAAAACAGGGAGGCAACGCCGGGCGAATTACACCATGATCTGCCGATGGATTGTGGACGCCTGGACTAAGGACAGTGTTGGGGAGTAACAGATTACATGTACCGGCGTTACGTAATCAGAGTACAAATTATGAGTAACTGTATTCAGTTACAGTTATTGTTTCAACGCGTGGTAATTGGATTACAGTTACTTTGTTGAAATAAATAGATTACATGGTGATATTTTCCTGTTTTCACATTTTGGGCTAAACCGGGTCTAAATCAGGACTAAACCAGGTCTAAACCAGGACTAAACCAGGTCTAAATCAGGATTAAACTAGGACTAAAACCAGGACTAAACCTGGACTAAACCAGGACTAAACCAGGACTAAACCATGACTAAACCAGGTCTAAACCAGGACTAAACCAGGTCTAAATCAGGATTAAAGTAGGACTAAAACCAGGACTAAACCAGGTCTAAACCAGGACTAAACCAGGTCTAAATCAGGATTAAACTAGGACTAAAACCAGGACTAAACCTGGACTAAACAGGACTAAACCGGGACTAAACCATGACTAAACCAGGTCTAAACCAGGACTAAACCAGGTCTAAATCAGGATTAAACTAGGACTAAAACCAGGACTAAACCAGGACTAAACCAGGTCTAAACCAGGACCAAACCAGGTCTAAACCAGGTCTAAACCAGGTCTAAACCAGGTCTAAACCAGGACTAAACCAGGTCTAAACAATATGACACCTAACAGTAGGGTGGACATACTTTAAGGCAGCAGTGATCTCTTATAAATATCATTTCTCTATCAATAATATTTTTTATCTGGTTATGTAGAGACTGGACTTTTTAATGTCTTTTAGCAGATAAAACATCTTACGTTAAGATTCTAGTCTTTGCTACTTTACAGTAAACACAAACCTCTTCATGGAGACTTGGGCTCAACAGACAATTTGAAGAGAACAAACAAGAATTGTCAGGTTGTGGTTGGTACATTCATGTCGTTTTAAAAAGCATGACAATATCAAGTAATCCAAAGTATTCAGATTACATTACTCACTTTAAGTAATTTAATGGATTATGTTACAAACTACATTTTGGGGTATGTAATCTGTAATCTGTAGGGGAATACATTTTCAAAGTAACCTTCCCAACACTGGCTAAGGATCAGTCTCAAGTGTCGTCCGTTTGTTTTGCTTAATGTGTTTTATAATCTGCTGCACTTTATGTATGAAAATAGACGAGAGAATTCAACATTATTGATATTGCGCTTTATAATCCGGTGTGCCTTATAGTCCGAACAGTACGGTATTTTTTGATCTATGTTCTAATGTTGTTTCCTCAACACAAACATACTTGGAGTTGTGTTTTGTTTCATTCACACATGTTTGAACAATCCTTTATTATTTGTCTGTCTACATCTCCAAAGCTCAAAATGCTCTGTTCCACCTTGTGATGTCATGAAGTAGCAGTTTTCAAGTTCAGCATCTATCTTTTAACTTCTGTTCTGTAGAGATTGGCCATTAGAACTGAAATGATCCAGATGATTCTAGTGAAGTGCGTGTGTGTGGAGTTTAAAAACACTAGGGCTGGGTATCATTAAGAAGTTGCCGATACGATACATATCTCGATACACAGGCCACGATACGATACATATCTCGATACAGTGCACTTTCGATTTGATATGATATATTTCAAATCGATTCGATACGGTTCATTAAAAAATAAAGTCTAAATCGTGTCTGTGATACTAAAGTCTTTGTTAAACCACTTCTTGTGCAAAGTTCATATGAAACACAAACATTTTAATCATCAAAACAGTGAAAATGTCAAATGTGTCACATAAATGAGTTTCCTTTCACTCCACAAGCCACAAAACTGTAGTACTGTAACAAGATAATATAGTAAAACACACGTAAAAATACTCTTGCTGATATATCGATACAGTAGCCCACGATATCGATACTGTATCATCACATTAAACGATATGCTATATCGATATTCCGATATTTTTTCACACCTCAAAAAAAAAAAACAGTGGAGCACTTCCTAGATTACATAGTGTTTTCTGTTTGAGAGAAGAACTCATCTTAACTACGCAGGGTTTGTGTGTTAAACATGTGTAAATGAAACAAAAAACATCTCCAGGTCTGTTTGTGATGAGGAAACTACATTAAAACCCCAATAATGTTTGCTGATGATACGACTTTATTTATATCCAATTCAAACTTTAACGTTCTAATAAACCAAACTAATGTTGCATTATCTGCTTATAACAAATGGTTCAAAATTAACAAATTATCTTTGAATGTTAAAAAAATGAATTATATGATTTTTTGTGGTAAAATATCATTTCCAACTAACCCTAAAATCAAAATTGATTCAATTAAAATAACTTGTGTTTCATCCACCAAATTTCTGGGCGTCATTGTCGATGATAATCTAACCTGGAAAGAGCAGCTGACTGTGTGACCAGAAAAATTAACAAATCTCTTGGTATTATAAGAAAAGTTTGTACATTTCTGGACTCAAAGTCTATACTTACATTATACCATAGTTTAATTTATCCCTATCTGTCATATTGTAATCTAGTCTGGGCTGCACTTTCTCTACTCTGAACAAAATATTATTGGTGCAAAAACGTTTTGTTCAAATTACAACTCATTCTATGCCACTAACATCATCTGCTCATTTATTCACCAAACTTAACATTCTTAATATTTATCAGGATTAATATTTATCAGATTTGTATTTTTATGTATAAAATTCTTCACAATTCAACAACGATCCTCGAACATTTCAAATTTTATTATAAAACCAATGCAGAGATTCATAGATACAAAACTCGTCAAATTCATAATTTTCATGTTCCAAAATGTGTCACATCAAGAGCTCAGTTTTGTAACGATACAGAGGCTGTAAATTCTAGACATAGTTTTCACATCTGGTTAGTGACGGCAGATCAGAGGAGTTGTTTTTTTAAAAGAGTTTGAGGAAATGTTTGATATTTCATGTTAATGTTTGATAATCTTTCAATCGTGGATGTTTCATTGTGTTTTAATCCATGTTTGAATCAAAAAAAAAAAAAAAAAAAAAAAATCCATGGTGTTTAAATGTCATTTATATTATATATATATATATATATATATATATATATATATATATATATATATATATATATATATATATATATATTATATACATTTTTATGCACAATGATAATGTAAAATTTTTAAGGTGGAGGCTTTAATATTACGCCCTATTGGGTTTTTTGCCTCTTCCTCTACTTTTTATCTAGTGTGTTTCTTTTTATTGTCATGTTATATGTGCAAAATAAATAAATAAATAAATAAATAATAAATAATAGAGATCAGAAAACAGCGTAATAAGTGAAAAAATCATACCAGATATAAATAGTTAACTTGAACTTTTCCCTCCTTTTACTTTTAGTCACAGGAGATTTGACACATCTCTGTTTTGTTTTGTCACAGTATAATTACCCTCTCTGTTTCGAGGCTGTTGTTTTGCCTAATTTGCTTCAGTCGGCGCTAAGTTAAGTTATAAAGCGAAACATGTTCTTATACAGTGTAATGTGGCCTCTGCTCCCGGTTTGTTGTTTGCTTGTTGTGATTGGCCGAGAGAGTGGCACTAATTGCGTAGAGCATCTGCGGCGCTCACACACACACCTGCTGTCCACAAGTACACAGAGAGGAAGCACAGATGGCTGTCTGTGTTTATGAATACAGCGGTGAGAGGAGGACTGAGAGACGAGCTCTGACGCAGGCCCGCAGCAATGTTCTTTTTGTACACAACGAGTCAGCAATTATTTTTGATGAGTCGACTTGTCAATTTATTATTTCTATTGTGCCGTGGAAGTTTTTGGTCAATAGTAATTGGGTCTTGGACAATAATAATTACTGTTTAAAGCCCCAGTGTGATTCATCAGCCGGTTTCACTTCGCAGAAACCGTCTGATCTCGCAGGGTTAGAATTCCAATGAGATTCATTTGGTCTTCCGATATTCTATGTTATTAGCTTCTTTTTTTCCGATCCAGAGTGTTATTTCATACCTGACAGTTTCGACTGCTCACTAGCGTCTTCCTCAGAGTCACGTGATGTTGATGTGACGCGTCTGGTCAGCTGATTTAAACAGGTTTTGGCGCTGCCTTCCTGGACAGGACAGGAACAACTCAAACTCAAATTGTCCATTTCTGACCATTGTAAAAGAGAGAACCACATTATGGATTGGGATGGAGCAAACATCGTTGGGACAGAGGAAAACAAACATCGCCGCTGGATTAAAGAAGCAATCAAAATACAGAAACTTGCCTACAGGACTATAAACCGGGACGAGAGGGCTTTTTTACTCTCACACACCTGGCATACTGTCCTGAGGAACCTGGACTGCAGATGGCGCTGTCGTCATGCCTCCACCGGTAGGAAGACAACACCAAAACCTGGTTTAAATCAGCTGAGCGACACGTCACAGCAACATCACGTGACTCTGAGGAAGACGCTAGTGAGCAGTCGAAACTGTCAGGTATGAAATAACACTCTGGGTCGGAAAAAAAGAACCCAATAACATAGGGTTAGAATTCGTTCGCTCGACAGTAGGCGGGTATTTTTTCATTTAACCAATCGCTGCTGTTTGGTCGTGATGTATGTAATGCGCCGCTAACGGGGCTAACTGGTATATTAAGCTTTTCCCAAATCCCGCTGGAAGAAGGACAATAAGGCTACGTTCAGACTGCAGGGTTTAACACTCAATTCCAATTTTTTTGTGAAATCCGATGTTTTTGTGAGGTCGTTCACGTTTCCAATTAAATGTGACTTGTATGTGACTCCAGTGTGAACAGTAAACGGCCCAAAAGTGTCCCACATGTGCACTGGAGACACGACGACGTCAACCGCAGTGAGCGTGCTCTGTGTTTACTGAAGTTGTCCAAACATGGACGTGAGCATTGAGCACCTGGAGATTTTAAAGTTCCTCTTGTACCGGAGCCAGAACATGAACAACTTACTTGTTTCAAGGAGGAGATTGAGAAGGAGAAGGACGAGGTTTTTGGTCGTGGTGTTTTGTGGGACAGCGGCAGCGATGTCCGTAGAAAGGAACGTGTGGATGTGGAGACGGAGCCAAGAGTGGTGAGTGGTGATGTGCTTCACTTCAGTGACACGGAGTTCATTAACAATTTTCCTACTTCAGTGCAGAATAGTGACGTTTGTGTCTTGTTGATAACGTGTAGGTGGATGAATGCACTTTGGCCGTTCACACTGAAGTCACATGTCAAAAGATCAGATATGTATCGGTTTTAGGAGCACATATCCAAGTGTCCTGGGTCGCATTTGAAAAAATCTGATCTGTGTCGTTCAGACTGTCAATAAAAGATCAGATACAGGAACATAGGGGCCAAATTTTCAGATTTGGGTCACTTCAGGCTGCAGTCTGAAAGTAGCCTAACTTCTTTCCCCTTGATCAAATTAACCAAACATTCTCTTTATTCCGGTTTTAAATCCTCAATCTCTGGAATTGTTGACAACACTTTGCTGATTGGTTGGTGCTTGAACTCACACTTTGTAAATGTCTAGTGTATTCCGATTCCTGACCTAATCGCTGGAGAGAAATGAAATTGAGCATGGCTACCAGTGTGTAAGTTTTTCCAAAAATGTATTTTATTTATTTTAATGTATTTTTTCATTATGGATGTTTTTATTGCACTGAAAATCAAATAAAAACATGAATTCTTACTCTAACCTGCTTGCATTTCCACAGACCTGGCTCTTACTTGGCCTAGAGGAAGGCCTTGTCCTGCTTGTTTCCATGGAAACATTGTTCTTTGGCTATAATATTCCACTGTATGGCATAAAACCTCTCAGTGGAGAATGTTATGGATTTAGACTTAGACAAACTGTATTGATCCACAAGGGGAATGATTTGGACACAATATAATATACATCACAACATAATAAAGAGAAATAATATAAATGGTAAAAGTACATTCTGAATAAGTAGCAAAAAAGCACTATTTACACTATTTACACATATTATTTATTTATGTGCATGCAAGTGAGAAACACAATTTCTATTCTTTATGGCAGGCATGTCCAAACTACGGCCCGTGGGCCAAATGCAGCCCTCAGACAAATTTTTCTTGGCCCTCAGGCTTCCAGGTGCTTTGGCCCAAATTACCTTGCATCAATTAAAAATGAACTTTTTACTAAGTTTTTTGAATATCTACTTTGATAACACTAATATTGAAGATTTAATGTGTGGTTTTGAGGATTTTAGAGTGAATAAAGGACTGATAGCTCATTCTAAAGTGTTAAACATGCACATATTTCAATTATTAACTGTAGTGAGTTCCAGTCTACAGCCCTCAATCGGCCTCTGCTTCATCTGTGTTTAGAAATGTGGCCCTTGATGAAAAAAGTTTGGACACCCATGCTTTATGGTTTTTGTATGAAGAATTGACAATAAACTTTTTGAACTTTTGAAAAAGAGAGACAAATAAGACATAATTATACAAATGTAAATGTACAAGACAAAATAAAATAAAAAAGTAAGTAATAAAATAAAAAAATCTCAACTTTATACACGAGGTTGTAAGAAAAACAGTGCAAAAATGATGATTGACAGGACATAGGTTTATCTGCTACATAAGGGTGAGTTGCTGTACAGTTGTAGGGAGTATTATCTGTTACATAAGGGTGAGTTGCTGTACAGTTGTAGGGAGTATTATCTGTCACATAAGGGTGAGTTGTTGTACAGTTGTAGGGAGTATTATCTGTTATATAAGGGTGAGTTGTTGTACAGTTGTAGGGAGTATTATCTGTTATATAAGGGTGAGTTGTTGTACAGTTGTAGGGAGTATTATCTGCTACATAAGGGTGAGTTGTTGTACAGTTGTAGGGAGTATTATCTGTCACATAAGGGCGAGTTGTTGTACAGTTGTAGGGAGTATTATCTGCTACATAAGGGTGAGTTGTTGTACAGTTGTAGGGAGTATTATCTGTCACATAAGGGTGAGTTGTTGTACAGTTGTAGGGAGTATTATCTGTTACATAAGGGTGAGTTGTTGTACAGTTGTAGGGAGTATTATCTGTTATATAAGGGTGAGTTGTTGTACAGTTGTAGGGAGTATTATCTGTTATATAAGGGTGAGTTGTTGTACAGTTGTAGGGAGTATTATCTGCTACATAAGGGTGAGTTGTTGTACAGTTGTAGGGAGTATTATCTGTCACATAAGGGCGAGTTGTTGTACAGTTGTAGGGAGTATTATCTGCTACATAAGGGTGAGTTGTTGTACAGCTGTAGGGAGTATTATCTGTCACATAAGGGTGAGTTGTTGTACAGTTGTAGGGAGTATTATCTGTTATATAAGGGTGAGTTGTTGTACAGTTGTAGGGAGTATTATCTGTTATATAAGGGTGAGTTGTTGTACAGTTGTAGGGAGTATTATCTGCTACATAAGGGTGAGTTGTAGTACTGATACTTTGAAGATTCTTTGTGCACAGAACAGGAGTGAGAATATTGGTGAACTTTAAGCACGTCTTTAAACTCGTGTTAAATTATTCATGTATAAAAAGTATGAGTATGAAGTTTCTAAAATTGCCTGGTTTGTTTTGTGTCTCTGTTGGGAACTACATAACCCATGGTCCTTTGCTCCGTTTTAAGTGCAGCCTGCATGAAGAATAATATATGTATGCTATAATGAGAGCACTTGAAGCTTGTTGGGGCGTTTTACTCTTATCCAGCTGCATGTACAGTTTAAGAGGGTGTGTGGGGATTTGGTATTGAATGTAAAATGAAAATAAATAATAATAAACTCATTCAAATGTCGTGAGTTGGATTATCGTTGTGGACCGTCTGAAACTGTGCCGTGTTTTGTAGGAGTTCTTTGACCTGTGGCCGATCCTGATGGGAGAGGTGGCTCCATACGACGGACCCAAGACTCCAGACGGTCGGGTAAGTCCTCTGAAAATACTGTTCTCACTGTAAATAATACAGCTTTCCTTTATATCCAGACAGTGTTGGGGAGTAACAGATTACATGTACCGGAGTTACGTAATCAGAGTACAAATTATGAGTAACTGTATTCAGTTACAGTTACTGTTTCAGTGAGTGGTAATTAGATTACAGTTACTTTGTTGAAATAAATGGATTACATGGCGGTATTTTCCTGTTTTCACATTTTGGGCTATATCCCTTTTTTACTTTTTTTTCTTGGTAATTCCACTCATTGCAAGACACTAAAACAGGTCTAAAACCTGGTCTAAACTAGGACTAAACCCAGACTAAACCAGGAACTAAACCAGGACTAAAACCAGGTCTAAACAAGGATTAAACCAGGTCTAAACAAGAACTAAACCAGGATTAAACCCAGACTAAACCAGGTCTAAACTAGGACTAAACCAGGTCTAAACCAGATCTAAACAAGGACTAAACCAGGACAAAACCAAACTAAACCAGGTCTAAACAAGGACTAAATCCAAACTAATCCAGGACTAAAACAGGATTTAACAGGACTAAACCAGGTCTAAACCAGGACTAAAACAGGATTTAATAGGACTGAATCATGCTGCGCAGACCGTGCCTCTTCTATCAATAATATTTTTAATTTGGTTAAGTAAAGACTCGGCCTTTTCATTTTCTTTTATCAGACAAAACATCTTATGTGAAGATCCTAGTCTTTGCTTCTCTACAGCAAATCAGTAATCCAAAGTATTCAGATTACATTACTCACCATAAGTAATTTAATGGATTCCGTTACAAACTACATTTTGGGCTATGTAATCTGTAATCTGTAGGGGAATACATTTTAAAAGTCACCTTCCCAACACTGTATCCAGGCAAATGATTCCTTCTTTATGCAAAGGCTTTGGCAATGGTCCTAGGAAAAAAGAAATTCAAATGGAAATATTATACCTTTTGAATGGAGAAAAGTCCTCGCAAAATCCTTCAAATCAGGAAGGGATCATTTAAGGGGAAGGGGACTCCATAAAAACACAGTATTTCTTCCGAGGACGGGACTTAACGTTGTATTGTAACCATGGCCACCGACATTTCTGACAAGAGAAATCTTAAATTATAACATAAACTGACCCAGATTTTCTTTTACTTTCTCCCGATGAAGCCCCATTTTCCCCCAAAACGCAATTATGCCAAACAGCCACGTTGTGTTAGTTCTTATTCTCACAAATAATGATTTTTGACAATATATCAGGTTAAAGTTAGTGCTCAGGTCAGGGTTGGGTTTAGAAATCTCTCTGAACCGTAATATTTGCTGTGATTACATCTGCTGATTATGAAATGAACTCCTTCCTTGGTAAACACAACATGCAGCAGTTAGTTTTGACTGACATAGGCCACACTTACATGATGTATTGTTTAATTCTGCTCAGCGTCTGGGGGTGGGGAAGGGTTCTGATATGACAGGGACACCAAGATATTTACGTCGACCAGAAGAAAACACACACTTCAGCTGCTATGGACTTTTCTGTCATCTCGGTTTGTTGTTACTCCACGGACACAAACGTGATCCAGACTTTTTCCTGCAGTGGTTCTGATGATAATTGTGCAGCAGCTGGAGAATTCTCTCATCACGCTTTACGTCTGTGAGCTGAGGAGGAGAAGGGAAGAGTGTCGGAGAAGGAGGAAGAAGACAAACTGAGTGTGAGGCTGCTCTACCTCAGCCCACTCCCACATCCTGCTCTAAAATCCAAAGAGACGTGGATGAAAGTCCGAAGTCAGGACTGGTGGAGCCGGATCGTGTCAGAAGGGCGACACAACGAGCATGAACTGAACCACTACAATTATTTTTAAGAAGAATACACGTTTACATGATCGAGAAACGAGAGTCCCACAGGAGGAGCTCGGAGTAAAGGCGGTGCTCTTCCATGTCAGAAGGAGCCAGCTGAGGTGGCTCAGGTATCTGTTCTGGATGCTTCCTGGGCGCCTCCCTCAGGAGGTGTTCCGGGCATGTCCAACCGGAAGGAGTCCCCAGGGAAGACCCAGGACACACTGGAGGAACTATGTCTCTGTACTGGCCTGGGAAAGCATTGGGGTCCCCCTTATAGAGGCTGGAGGAAGTGTCTGGGGTGAGGAAGTCTGGGAGTTCCTCCTTAGACTGCTGCCCCCACGACCTGGTCCCAGATAAGCAGAAGAAAATGGATGGATGATCGAGTTTAACTGATGATGATGAAATGAAGTGAACTCATCAAATCATTTTCATTAAGAATTAAATGTTAACAGGGTTATTTTAAAGCACAATACATTTTTAATAAGAGTTAAATTATTTTTATTCAGAAATTAAAACTCTCATGTAAACTTGGCAATAGAATGCCAAGCCCCGCCCCCAGATGAAATGCCAAATCTTTAGGGAGTCCCACGCTCAAAGGTCACATGTCTGTGTTTAATACTGTTCTTTCAGCCATCTCTGGAACAATACGCAGTGCAAAAGTTCACTTATAAAAGCCAGCAGGCAGGTTTTCTTTCATTAGAGAAGCGTTGCTGGTGTATCTCTGGTGTAACACAAGTCTTATGCAGCAGATTCTGCGCCGCTTTTCTCTCCGCTCGTCTCCTCTTCTCTCACATCCTCTCGGAGTCTTTCAGATTCTCTCACATGTCGGCACATTGTCAAACTTCAGCTGTTTTTGAAGCTTCTCCTGCTGCAGATCTTTAGAAACCAGCACCAGCCTTTTCTCATTCACCAAAACAAAGCTATGCAGCCAGGAATGGAGAGAAAAGGGCTCATATTGTACTATTTTCTGATGTGTTCTAATGTCGTTTCCTCATCACAAACAGAGCTGGAGTTGTGTTTTGTTTCATAACACACAAACCCTGCATGTTTAGGCTGACAGAAACAGAAAACCCAGTGCCCCTTTAACTTCTGGGACATGTTCTAACTTTCTTTTGTTTTTAAAGGAGGTGATCTTCTACAAAGTCATCGACTACATCCTCCACGGAAAAGAGGACATTAAAGTCATACCGTGAGTGTGTGCTTTGGGCTGTTTTTAGAGATATTAGAGGAGCAAGGGACAGTGACGCAGCCAAGCTATTGTAACAGATAACTACAAAGTGGAATACAAACACAGAGATGTCCTTATAAATCTGCACAAATCTTATCAATGTTTTTTTGTTTTTTTTTTTTTAAGCTCCTCTATTATGCAAAATTGAGCTTTAAGTCGTGTTATAATGTGGTTACCTCATATGGAGCCTTTAATGGAATTTTGTGATTTATGTTTTGTCTTCACAGATCACCTCCTGCTGATCACTGGGCTCTGGTCAGTGGTTTACCCACATATGTGGCTGAGACTGGACTGGTGAGAATTTTTTTTCTTTTATTGTTTACACACTGACACTCTTTTTGTTAGAAGCTTGCTACAGATATCAGAAATTAAAGTGAAATTAAAAACTATTACATTTTTGGCAATAAAAGCACTTTCAAACTAATAAAAGTTAACATGGTGATCTAAATATATTATGTGTTAGACTTTATTGATCCATTAGGGTTTTTTTTATCTAACTTTTTATTTTAGTATCTGTTACATAAGGGTGTGTTGTTACCGGCTCGTCAAAGCCTGATCCTGTCAGATCTCAGAAGCTCAGCAGGGTCGGGCCTGGTCAGTACATGGATGGAGACCACTGGGAAAATCAGGTGCCACAGGCGGCGCCAGTGGCAAAACTGTCGTTATGTCCTTAGGCAAGGCACTTCACCCTCATTGCCTACTATGAAAGTGGTGTATGTGTGTGTGTGTGTGAGTGATGGTGGTGGTCGGAGGGCTGATGGCACAGATTGGCAGCCTCGCTTCCGTCAGTCTGCTCAAGGGCAACTGCGGCTACAGTAGTAGTTTACCACCACTGAGTGTTGAGTGAATGAATAATAATCTGTAAAGCGCTTTCGATACCTTGAAAGATGCTATATAAATGTAATGATTAATTAACTAATTGTTGCACATTTGTAGGGAGTATTATCTGTTGCATAAGAATGAGTTGTTGTACAGTTGTAGGGAGTATTATCTGTTGCATAAGAATGAGTTGTTGTACAGTTGTAGGGAGTATTATCTGTTACATAAGAGTGAGTTGTTTGTACAGTTGTAGGGAGTATTATCTGTTACATAAGGGTTGAGTTGTTGTACAGTTGTAGGGAGTATTATCTGTTACATAAGAGTGAGTTGTTGTACAGTTGTAGGGAGTATTATCTGTTACATAAGGGTGAGTTGTTGTACAGTTGTAGGGAGTATTATCTGTTAGGAGGGGGTATTATAAGTCATTTTTGCCCCAGAATCACAAAACTGCAGGATTTGAACTGACAACCCTCCCGTTTGTGGGATAATAAACTCTCTACTCCACCGTCACTGTTGCCACAATTTACAGAGCTCCCTCTGAATGATTTATTTGCACATTTAAAAGTCTTATGACATTAGCACAGGGATATTTTGCGAGCTCCAATTCAAAATGACAGAGGATATTGGAGATGTAATATTTTTCTTTCTGCCGGGCCGAGACAGACGATGAATAATGAACAAATGGCCCTGAGTCAAAGTGGAGACTCCAGTCAGTCCGAGGTTTAAAGCGGGAATAAGACGGTTTTAAATGACCGTATTATAGTATTTTCTGATCTATGTCATAATGTTCCTCACAACAAACAGACTTGGAGCTGTGTTTGGTTTCATCCACACATGTTTAACACACAAACTCCTCTCAAACTCTGACTCCCTTTGTTTAGTCGTGTCTCTGGGCACCAACAGGAGGTCGGTCCCTGAGCTCCTCAGAGTGTGAGATGGTTCATGTGGCACTAACATGTCACAGATGGACTTTGGTGCTCGGCCATGGAGAGACTTGTACAAAAGCAGAGCTGCTTTAAAAACTCTGAGCCACAGGGGACAGTGCAGAGACCTGAGCACAGGACGCATGTGCATGTACTTCCTGTCGAGTCAGAACTCGAGCTGCAGTGTTCTGGATGTTCTGCAGCGTCTCACAGCTCGTTTGGAGAGACCAGTGAGCAGAACATTACAGTATCTAACCTACTGGAGACAAACGCATTTCTCGAAACCCTTTGGTTTTTGATATGTTTTTTAAATCATTGTTTCCCAAAGACTGGGTCGCGACCCTCAGGTGGGTCACAAAAGATTTTTTTGGGGTCACCTTGTCACGACCTAATGTAGTTCTGCAATATACAGTTCTGACACATGAGAGAGAGCGAGTGAGTCAGCGAATCATATCTGCCCTGAACCTCTGTTCTGCAGCGAGAGTTAAGAAATGCTTGCATGGTTGTCCATAAAGAAGCGTGATTAATCAGCAAAGGTCAGTGCACTTCAGGATACGTATGGATACTTATGGATTTTCATTGTAAGACTAATACTAGTAATACTAATTGTTCAGAGACACAGTCACTGAGTCAGCAATAAAATATCCTCATTAATATTCAATAATGCTCAAATCCACCTTTATTTACTGATTTACCTAGAATGTCTATTGACTTGGGTTGCAAATGTTTGTGACTTTTAAAATATGGATCCCCAGAAAAAAGGTTTGGGAAACACTGTTTTCAAGGGTAAAAGGCTGCAGATGTTATTGATTTGATGTGGCTGTTAAAGATCAAGAGTCCATTATTACCCTGAGATTTTTAGCTTGATTTGAAGTACTCCATTTGAAGTGGAGTAGTAGTAAACTCAGACAAGACAGAAGCTAAACCAAAACTATAAACAACATCACCAAGCACTCTCCCACTTCATGACTTTCTTTGTTCTTGTCCTGTGGAGTCTGTCCTGGTCCAACACCTGAGCCCCTTTAAAAAAACTCTCATTTTGTGGCTGCGTCTCTGTGTGATTCTGCAGCCGAGCATCTGAGCACAACATTAACCAAATTACACCATTCTCTGAGATCTAACCATCACGGAAATGAAAACTCACTCCCCTGTGACCAGCAATACTCGCATCTACGAACAATAGAATTCATCTTAAAAATTGTAATCCAACTTTGTGCTCCACTGAGTAAAGAGTCTGTCCTCAGAACGCCTTTGGAAGTTTCTCATCTCACTGAACTCATTTGAACTCTGGAATACTTATTACTATTTTAATATTTGTAAATGTGAGAAAATGAGTGTTTCAGACTATAATTTTAGACTTGATGCTGATACTAAGGAAAGGCTTGGTACACATTTGTGTTGATTTTGGTGGTTAAAATGATGTTCTTTTTTCTTATATGTTTGTTAAATAATAGTTGTTTCTTTAAAGCTACCATTTGTAAATATTTGACCGATCTACCCCTGTTATATTCTCACATATCACCACTAGGTGCTGTCTACGTTAGTGCTTACGGATGGCAGCTTTAATATTACCACATGGATTTATTATATTCACTAGTTCAGATAAAGGCCAAGATCATCTAAAACTACTCAGGAAAGGTTGTACTTTGTCCTATCTATGTCATTTTTTAAGATTCTGCTCGATATCTGTTCAAATGAATATCTTGTTTGATTATAGATTAGTATCTGGGTATCCTTTTGTTTTTTTACATGAGACAATATTAAGGTTTTAAACCAAAAATGGAAAAAAAATTAACTGTTTACATCACTCTAGGCCACAGGTGGAACCAAGTCATTGTTTTGGAAGTCTTAAGTAAGTCTCAAGTCTATGACCTCCAAGTCCAAGTCAAGTCCCAAGTCAAAGACAGGCAAGTTCAAGTCGAGTCTTGAGTCACTGGCCCACAGTGGCGGAGCGTGCATTTCACACGTAAGCCTTCAGTAGTGCTCCATCTGAAACAATCCATAATACTCCTCTTCAATAACTATTTTATAGTTACATTATACACAGTATAAAGAGCTGTGGAGATTCCGTGCATGGAGAAGTGAGGAGAGGAGAGTGCATGGTGCACGGAGAAGAAGTGAGGAGCGCTGGGGTGATAAACCAGGACTAAAGCAGAACTAAACCAGGACTGTTTGTCGGGGCTGGCCCGAGGGTGCACTCGGTAGACTGGCGGGTGACCGCAGACGAAAGGACCGCGCCAGGGTTGGTGCTCCGCGGTGCCCGGCTCCGGCTGCACGGAGCACCGGCCCCGTTGGCCACATGGGGCTCAGTGCAGCTGTCGCCCGATCGGGCTTTGCGGACACTCTCTTGCTCTTTCGCTCATGTCCAAGATTAGTCCTGACATTAGTCCGCTACAGATGCAGTTTGCTGCTTCGGCTGGTTCGCTCTCAGACTGTCCAATCACAGGTCTGAATCTGGTGATGTTGTCGTTCACTGCTAAAGGCCCTGGCGATACCGACTAAAAATATGATTGGTTGAAGTAACAGTTTCATGGACATGTATTTTGTGTTCAGGGGCCTGCAGAACGGATTCTGAAGGTGTCAGGGACACTTCTTTGACTTTGACTCTGCTTAGTAACAAGTGACGACTGAAATGTGATTGGTCAAATGCAAATAAATGAAAATATATGTGTGGAAGCAGCACAAGCATCAGAAAAGCTCTGAAAGGAAGCAGACAGAACATTTGGAATTATTTAATAATAATAATAATAATATAATTCACATCAGTCTGTGATTCAGATATTTTTTTTAGGCCAGCAGAGAAGGACTTGCAGGCCCTGACGCTCCACCACTGCTGGCCCACAAGTCCAAGTCAAGTACAAGTCGTCTGCTTCGAGCTTCAAGTCTTTAAACTACAAGTACCAAATATAGCTTAGATTTTTGCAATTTATATTAATTTTAAACTAAATTGTACTTTAAAAGTCATATTTATCTATGAGTATTTATATAAGAGTTGTAGAAATGTAAATTTTTCCTTTTTAAATGTCTTGTCAAGATCTTAGTGTAAATCATGTTTAGAATAGAATTCAGATTTTAACTTTTATTTTGCCATGTATTCTGCACTGAAATGGAAGCATCATGTTCTCTGTAGTTCTCTCTGTTTTACTGCACTGTACTACATATTACATTTGAGGATACCACATCACAGTACTTCAGTTACATCCAAAATACCAAACAGAAGTGGGAGGGACATGTTCCAGTTTGTTCCTGTAAAATTCAGCACTGCATTTATCAACTGGAAAGAGAAAAGGATTTTCTAAAAACATATATTTTTAGGAATAGTACCTAGTCTTCCCAAGTCACAGGGCTCAAGTCCGAGTCAAGTCCCAAGTCATCAACCTTCAAGTCCAAGTCGAGTCCGAAGTCTTAGTCCATTTTATCAAGTCAAGTCTCAAGTCATAAAAACAGAGACTCAAGTCTGGCTCAAGTCCAAGTCACAACTTGCACAACCCCAAAAACACAAAACTGATCAAAATAAAGGACTCTACATCTATCTCTTTCAAATACTCAAGTCATCTCCGCATTCTGTTATATTTTTTTATTGAAATTGTCCTGTGAATGTCAGTATAATAATTTAGAAATCTCATTTTTATATGTGAAACGCTCTATATAAATAAAGTTTACATACTTACTTTACTTTACTAAAGTAATGTCCCATGTGTCCACAGATCTGCAACATCATGAACGCAGCGCAGGATGAGACCTTCTCTTTTCAGGTGAGATGGTTTTGTAGTTAGCACAGTCACCTCACAGCAAGAAGGTCCCTGGGTTGATTCCCGGTCCAGAACCCTGTGGCGTGTTTTTGTGTGGAGTTTGCATACTCTACCAGTACCTCTTTGAGCGGTCTCCAAATCAGGTCAGGTTACAGGTCAGATCTGTGCAGATGCGACCCTGCTCCCAGTCAGAATGTCTGTTTTTCTAGGTATTTTTGAGCAATAAAACCACCTGTAATTGAATAAATGTAAAGAAGAGCTGTTTAATGTCATATTCGAAACAGAGCAATCACATATCCATAGAGCAGAGTCCCACACCAGGTTCCCAACTGGTACCTGAGCAGATTTTAACGTTTTGGTATTTTACGGGTGGGTATGCAGGCGGGTAGTGATTACACACGGGTGGGTCAGGTGAATCAAATGAACGACGAATGGGAGAAAAATACTTTAGGTGTGTCCAGGGCGTGCGTTGCCCTGGAAACAAGAACCATTTCCCGGTCTTTTCCCAGAACGATGGCGCACCAGGCCGAGAGAGACTTTAGTGTATTTATTACAGAAAACCATCAGCAAAAGAGATCGGCTCAATGACTGCGCTCCTGGTTTAGACCTGGTTTAGTCCTGGTTTATACCCGGTTAAGTCCTGGTTTAGACCTGATTTAGACCTGGTTCAGTCCATGTTAAGTCCTGGTTAAGTCCTAGTTCAGTCCTGGTTTAGTCCTGGTTTAAACCTGGTCCAGTATTGGTGTAGTCCTGATTTAGACCTGGTTTTGTCTTGGTTTAGTCCTGGTTCAGTCCTGGTTCAGTTTTGGTTCAGTCTCAGTTTAGTCCTGGTTAAGTCCTGGATTAGTCCTGGTTTAGACCCGGTTAAGTCCTGGTTAAGACCTGGTTTAGTCTTGGTTCAGTCCTGGTTGATACCTGGTTCAGTCCTGGTGTAGTCCTGGTGTAGTCCTGGTTTAGTCCTGGTGTAGTCCTAGTGTAGTCCTGGTGTAGTCCTGGTGTAGTCCTGGTGATCAGCTCTGCGGTTATATTTATAATCTGCTAACGACACGGCGTAGGTTCAGTCCTGATTTAGTCCTGATTTAGTCCTGGTTTAGTCCTGGACTATTGGGCTGACCTGGATTTATCACGGGCACGGGCGGGTAACAGGTGGAATGTTCACGGTTCTGGGTGGTTGTGGGTTTAACTTTGGTATAATCACGGGTTAACGGGCGGGTGCGGTGCTGTACTGCGCAGGTGAGGGCAGGCGCTGGTCTCCAAAAATGGACTCGTGCAGGACAAAAGCAGGTGTCAGACCATAATATCCACTCATTCGATTACAGATGGATTGAAACATTTTACCATCTTAGCTATTGCCTATAAACCTATAATTTTACTTAGATCTTGGGAATGATTAAAAGTGTCTAATGTTGTTTTTGTTTGCGCAGAAAGAAGCTCTGGATGAGTCTGGGTGGACCATTAAAAACGTGCTTTCGATGCCGATTGTCAACAAGAAGGAGGAGATAGTGGGCGTGGCTACGTTTTACAACAGGAAGGACGGCAAACCCTTCGATGACATGGACGAGACTCTGATGGAGGTACGGCCTGAGTCACGGTTTAAAAATACACTCAGTATTCACAAACACTGGAATATTTATGAGCAGGCTTTTAGTGGAAAGGGAGAGCACTACACGGAGAAGCAATGGGAACTTTCTGCAGCAGAGCGTGTGCAGGAGACTTTACTGCAATGGTTCACAAGAAGTTACAAGTTACATTATTATAACACATGAGGAAAATAGAGACAATAAATGATCATATAGAAAACAATTTATACCACTGACACAATGACACACACAAAAAGCAGGATTATCCCAAAAAACTATTTTAATTTGCTTCAAACACTGGTTCGTGCAGTGTGGCTCGTCTGGAGCTCGTGGACACTGTGCGGCACATGATAAAATCACAAACACACATGCTCCCAGCGCAACAGTCTGTGCCCTTGTGTACCCACATGTATCACAGGCAGTGTTGGGGAGTAACAGATTACATGTACTGGAGTTATGTAATCAGAGTACAAATTATGAGTAACTGTATTCAGTTACAGTTACTGTTTCAGTGAGTGGTAATTGGATTACAGTTACTTTGTTGAAATACATGGATTACACGGCCGTATTTTCCTGTTTTCATATTTCGGGCTATTCCACTTTTTTTTTTCTTTTTTTGTTTGGTAATTTCAATCATTGCCGGAAAATCTAAACTAGATCTAAAACCAGGACTAAACCAGGACTAAAACCAGGTCTAAACTAGATCTAAACCAGGTCTAAACTACATCTAAAACAGGTCTAAAACCAGGTCTAAACCAGAACTAATACTCAGTCTAAACTAAATCTAAACCAGGTCTAAACCATCCTAGTCTTTGCTTCTCTACAGCAAACCAAGTAATCCAAAGTATTCAGATTACGTTATTCACTTTAAGTAATTTAATGGATTACATTACAAACTACATTTTGGAGTATGTAATCTGTAATCTGTAGGGGAATACATTTTAAAAGTAACACTCCCAACACTGATCACAGGGGAGGTTAAACTTTTTAAACCATGCTACCCGTGCACCGGCCTCACGTCACGCTCTCGCTCCCCCCGCACATCGGCTCGGTCGCCCTGATTAGAAGGACAAGACAAAACTCTAAGCAGAATCTAATCAAAATTTATGCTACAACAATATGTGGGCTGAAGTTTGCCTAAAATACCACATAAATCTGTGTTTGTCACGATGTGCCTTTGGTAAATGTGCAGAGGCTAAATCCCGCTGTAAAACCAGGAACAGAATGTAACTCCAGTTAGAAATGTGAAAAAACAGGTTTAAAAATCCTACCCACTTGATTCACATTGAAGTAGTTTTCTGTAAAGTGCCAGTGGAAGTTGTCTTAAAGAAGAGGTTCTCAAACTGTGGATGAGGGTCCAGAAAGGTTTCAGGAGTGTTTCAGTGCAGTACAGTTTGCTTGGCTTATTTTATGCCTAAATGAACATTAATAAGGTAAAATGGAGATAGATTTAAAAAAACAAAAAAAAAGAAAAAAAAAAGACTCCCCTTGAACTGCCACCTTACCGTGGTGGGGGAGTTTGTGTACCCGAATGATCCTAGGAGCTATGTTGCCCTGGGCATTATGCCCCTGGTGGGGTCTCCCATGGCAAACAGGTCTTAGGTGACGGGGCAGACTAAGAGCAGTTCATAGAACCTCTATGAACAGTATAAAAACAAGGACCGTGACGTCGCCCGGTATGGCGCAGCCGGGGCCCCACCCTGGAGCCAGGCCTGGGGTTGGGGCTCAAAAGCGAGCACCTGGTGGCCGGGCCCCCGTGGCCAGGGCTCAGCCCGAAGGGACGACGTGGGCCCGCCCTCCTGTGGGCTCACCACACCGCAGAGGGTTTCATAGGGGTCGGGTGCGATGTGAACTAGGCAGCGGTCGGGGTCAGGGATCCCGGCAACCTAGTCCACGGACACAGAACCTGGCTGTAGGGACGTGGAACGTCACCTCACTGGGGGGAAGGAGCCTGAGCTTGTGCGGGGGGGTTGAGAGGTACCGGCTAGATATAGGGGAGGAGGCCCCGGGGAAGACCCAGGACACGCTGGAGGGACTATGTCTCTCGGCTGGCCTGGGAACACCTTGGGGTTGTGTGCGTGGAAAGGGAAATCTGGGAGTCCCTGCTTAGACTGCTGCCTCCGCGACCCGGCCCCGGATAAGCAGAAGAAAATGGAATGGAATGGAATGGAAAAAAAAAAGATATAAATATGCCAAAAAACAGTGTCGAAAATGATAAAGATGGTCTTGATTTGGATTTGATGGGCTTGTCTCGGTCTCAGCCTTTAAACGTTTTTGGTCTTGTCTCAGTCTCGACCCTCAGAGGTCTTGGTCTTGTTTCGTCGGTCTCAGAACGCTGTGGTCTCAGACTGGTCTTGGTCTCGATTAGTGCGCTCTTGACTACAACACTAGTGCATATACTGGTGTTGTAGTTATTAACTCGAAATAGATGCCCCAGTGCACCCAGGTGTAATTCTAAATTTGTAGATAATGGTTCATCTTGTAACATCATTTTGGTTTGCTGCAGGTGGATAATTTAAGTTTGGATTTTATTTCCTAGGAGGAGGCCTCAAATGTTCAAAGACAATAGGCGTGCAGATGCCCAACCTCAAGTCTTTATGGAGCAGGAGGTGCTCCAGAAGGCCAAATGGATCACTGGCAGCACAGATCACATTTTAAAAGAGAGGTTCTCCTTGAAGCCCTATGGGAGGCGCCACCTTGCCCCCAGCAGGAAAACAAATACTGTATTTTCCGCACTATTAGGTGCTCTGGATTATAAGACGCACTGTCATTAAATGGTCTATTTTCAAACTTTTTTCACAAATAAACCGCACCGGACTTTAAAAACAAAACACAACAGTGTGATGGGTGAGTGGTTTTGTTTGTTTTGTGCGTTCACGGTGACTCTGGGCTTTGTTCAGTTGTGGCGTGTAGGGAGGGTGTTGTCTGGGACCAACAGATTGTCGGCGTGTTCACAGTGACTCAGTTGTTCAGTCGTGTCTAGAAGTGGCACATTGCACTCGCTTTTCCGGTTCGTTCCTCCGTTCCGTTCCTCGTCAGCGTGGAGTGATGAGTGTGTCTGTGGGTGTGTTTCGCTGTGCGGTCGCTGTCTGCTCCGTGTGTGTTTGCGTGTTCTGTGGGTGGTGCGGCTTTGTAGTTTACTGAAGTCGTGCTGGGACACCTGAGTGGATTCGTGTATGGGGCGCTCTGGATTGTGGGGCGAGCAGTCGTTTTTTTGATGGGGTTGGAGGCTTAAGACCGCGCCCTATAGCCCGGAAAATACGGTAGATTTGCAAATTCCTTTATTCTCTCTGACAATACTGTTTACTCTTCTAATGTTGTTGTTCTGTTTTGTATCTGGCCTTTGCACCTTCTGCCTCATTTACACTAACACTCAGCTCTGATACCCATAATTGTTCGAGCCCCTGACCTGTGTGAAATGTATGTGCAGTTTGTGAGTGCAAATAGAATTACCTCTTGGGGATAAATAAAGTTTTCTCATATAATCTAATCTAATCTAATCTAATCTAGTCAAACTGAGTATTTCATCTGAAAGTAAGCATCAACCAAGTGTTTTTGTTACACGCGCAAATAAAATTCCATGTTCTCTTTAGCATTTCATTGATTTCATAAATGCAGCACATTATAGTCTTTTATAAACAGCATACAGGTAAAAAAAAAAAAAAAAAAAAAAAAAAAAGACCTGCAGTGTTTTCCTCATTTTAGAGTCAAAAGGGTTTTGTACGGAAGCCGAGAGGGGTCACAACAAACGCAAATACAAATGCGACAACACAACAAAAAGCCACAACAAACCAAAAAAAGCCACAACGAAAATGACCGTGGGGACTCTATATTAATGCAAACGCCGCAACAAATACAAACGCCACAACACAAACGCACATGCCGCAACACATTAAAAAGCCACAACACATTAAAAAGCCACAATGGAAGTGACCGCAGGACTCTATTTTCCGATGGACCGATCAAGCGGCAAGTGAAGAAGAAGAACTACAACGTGAAACGAATAATGATAAAACAATAAATTACTTGATCGGTCTGTCGGAAAATAGAGTCCCGCGGTCACTTCCATTGTGGCTTTTTAATGTGTTGTGGCTTTTTAATGTGTTGTGGTGTTTGTGTTGTGGCGTTTGCATTAAAATAGAGTCCCGCGGTCATTTCCCTTGAGGCTTTTTTTGGTGTATTGTGGCTTTTTTCTGGTTTGTTGTGGCTTTTTGTTGTGTTGTCGCATTTGTATTTGTTTTGGCATTTGCATTTGTTGTGACCCCTCTCGGCTTCCGTACGGTTTTGTGGCTCTGGGTGTTTTCTTTTCTGTGGGAGGCGACTCAAATGGCTCTTTGAGTATTTAAGGTCGCCGTTCCCTTGTGTAGACTAACAAAAGTGTAAATATGCTACTTTTCTGTCATAATGCAAATAATTAAGATGTAAAAATGTTTAATAACAGTTATTTCATCCTGTAAATTGGACTGAAACAGAGCAAAGGATCATGGTCTATGTAGTTCTTTCAGTTTTTAACCATTGCTGCACCAGAACAATGAATTTAAGCATGAATCTAAGAGTTCTGATGAGACAAAATCACAATAATTCAGTTCGTGTTCCATCCCTTTGCGTTACTCTCAGATTTAGTTTAAAAGCATTGACCTTTCCTCCATTTCCGTGCGGGCAAAGACAGCGGGGGAGGAGCGTCCATTTTATGAGGATCTATGTCAAGGTGCCTGATGGGAAATCCTGGGGCGGGGGTAATCACAGGTGTGTGGAGTGATGGATGGACCGAGCGGAGGAGGAGGTGGAGACGCACACATGAAACCAATCACTAAAACACAGAACATAACACAGCCCATCATTTAAACTGGGCCGAGTGCGCTGTCTGATCTGATGCCAGCGCAGTATTGATGTCTGAAAATACTGCTCGTGTTTTGGTGGTTTTGGTGATTTATGGTGTTTTACGGTGTTTTATGGAGAGAGTTTGGGGGGTGGGGGTTCATTTGACCAACGCGACTTTGACTTTGGAGGTTGGAAATGTGGTTTAGAAGGACCTTAAGACAGCAGTAGATCAGCTGGGATGTTCACCCGCTCACAGGCACAGGTAGGGCTTAACTAAGGTGGAAATATGCCGACCCAAAACTTCTAGATAGAGAATGTTTAGGAATAAAAATTTTACAAACGACTGTTTATTATATTGATTAACATTTTTTTTCTTTTTTTGACATTTTGATTTAATGTTTTCATATGTGTCTATTTCACGATTGCAATTGCCAAACTATGATAACTATTATTTTAAAGCCCCAGTGTAAGCCCCTCATGTAACATTTTAGCAAAACATGTCAAATAAAAGCGTGTTTTGTTTTGTTTTTTCTTTATAGTTGCTTTATTGCACTGAAACACATAAAAAAAAAATACAACAAAAAACAAAAAACATGCATAATATTTCATATTCCAGACTATAATGTTCCACAGTTTGGTATGTTCCAAATGATGGACCTCATTCATGAAGCAATCTTATACGAACACATTTGTACTTAAGGGCTGATAACTGATGAGTTAATCATGAGAGAGCCTCAAGTCATTTGATAATGTTTTGTAAAGCATAGACAAGTCTCCCTTTAGAACAGGGGTGTCAAACTCATTTTGGTCCGGGGGCCGTATCCAACCGACTTTGATCCCAAAGGATCAGAAAACTCATGGCATATAAACCCCAAAATAACAATAAATTCAAATATTTGTGCAGAGAAACGCAAATCTATTACAGAAATCTTTTTTTAAATGATGAACTCTTTCTTTTACAAAATATTATAATATTATGAACAACCTGAAACTTTAAGAAAAATGCAATTTCAGCACAATGTTGTAACATGAACTTGTATGCATTTCATAGAATTAAATCATGCTTTTTTACTCCTGAAACTTGACATCTTTTAGCCTCCACAAGTGCATCAATATCAGGCACGATATCCTGAGGAGCTGCTGTCTTCAGAATGTCATTCAAGTGTTTGTGTGTTTTAGCTCTGAGCACAGCTTTGTTTTATTAATGTTCATTACTGAGAAAACCTGCTCACAAAGGCAGGTAGTAACTGTAAATCTATTTCTAGTTGCACGTCTGCGGGCATCAGAGGTTTTGACTTTGAATGGTGTGCGAAAAATAGCAAATTCTGTCTTCAGGTTTTAAAATATAATTAAAATATTTAAGTAGAAAATCAGCTGAGGGCCAGATTAAAGGTCTTGGAGGGCCGGATCCTGCCCCTGGGCCGTATGTTTGACACCTCTGCTTTAGAAGAACATATTACGTCCATGAAGGGTGGTCGTCATGTGATAAGTGTAAACACCCCCTGCTCAATCTATTCTAACTACCATGTACAAGTGCTTATAACTGATCAGTACTGGGAAATAACCTAATTGGGTTAAGAATTTGATAAATTTGGGTCTAACATAACGCTTTTAAATACAGTGTTGTGAGGTTTACTTTTAAAATGTATTCCCCTACAGATTACAGATTACATACCCCAAAATGTAGTTTGTAACATAATCCATTAAATTACTTAAAGTGAGTAACGTAATCTGAATACTTTGGTTTACTTGATTTGCTGTAGAGAAGCAAAGACGAGGAAATTTTAACCATATTAAAAATATTATTGATAGAAGAGGAGGAGACACGTCCCCGCAGCATGGTTTAGTCCTGTTAAATCCTGTTTTAGTCCTGTTTTAGTCCTGGTTTAGACCTGGTTTAGATCTATCTTAGACCTGGTTTTAGTCCTGGTTTAGTCCTGGTTTAGACCTGGTTTAGACCTGGTTTAGATCTAGTTTAGATCTGGTTTTAGTCCTGGTTTAGTCCTGGTTTAGACCTGGTTTAGACCTGGTTTAGATCTAGTTTAGATCTGGTTTTAGTCCTGGTTTAGTCCTGGTTTAGACCTGGTTTAGATCTATCTTAGACCTGGTTTTAGTCCTGGTTTAGTCCTGGTTTAGACCTGGTTTAGATCTATCTTAGACCTGGTTTTAGTCCTGGTTTAGACCTGGTTTAGATCTATCTTAGACCTGGTTTTAGTCCTGGTTTAGACCTGGTTTTAGATCTAGTTTAGATCTAGTTTAGACCTGGTTTTAGTCCTGGTTTAGTCCTGGTTTTTGGACCTGGTTTTCCTGGTTTTAGACCTGGTTTTAGTCCTGGTTTAGTCCTGGTTTGGACCTGGTTTTAGACCTGGTTTTAGACCTGGTTTTAGACCTGATTTAGTTTCCAGCAATGAGTGGAATTACCGAAAATAAATAAATAAAAAAATAAAATAAACATAATGTGAAAACAGGAAAATACCGCCCTGTAATCCATTTATTTCAACAAAGTAACTGTAATCCAATTACCACTCACTGAAACAGTAACTGTAACTGAATACAGTTACTCATAATTTGTACTCTGATTACATAACTCCAGTACATGTAATCTGTTACTCCCCAACACTGTTTAAATATTAATAGTTGATGAGTACTAATGACTTAGTAACAATTTACTAATGATGACTAAAGACATTACATAAAGTATTTACCAACGATTAAATCAGGCGAAAAAATTAGGAGGTAAGTGTGTACAAATGATTAAAAATGACAATGTGTTCAATAACGCTTAACAAATGGCTGTAAGATGGACAAAGCATTAACATATACATCTATAAATGATTAACTGATGAGAAGTAATTAAGAGTTAACTGCTTACTAATGATTAACAAATGTATTAAGTACAAGTGAAATAAACCTAAATAGAACATTAACATATATATTTATAAATGATTAAATGATGAGAAGTAATTAAGAGTTAACAGTTTACTAATGATTAACAAATGTGTTAAATAATGCTTAATAAATGCTTAATAAGGAGTTGTTATTATAAAGTGCTACCTAGGATTGTTTTGAATAGACATAGCATTTAAAAAATGAAACAGAATCATAATAATTGACAAGTAAATTGATGTATAACCCCCCTCTCTCTCTCTCTCTCTGTTCAGTCTCTGACCCAGTTCTTGGGCTGGTCGGTGCTGAACACTGACACGTACGACCGGATGAACAAACTGGAGAACAGGAAGGACATTTTCCAGGACATGGTCATGTACCACGTCAAGTGTCGCAAAGACGAGATCCAGAACATCCTCGTGAGTCTGAGTTTGGGTTTTACTCATTTAAGTTTGTTCAAATATGAGCTCACTAATAACAGACAATAAAGAGATGAATGTATCTCTGAAATTTTGCTTTAAATATTTATGAACTCTGATACAGTAAAGTGTATTTTGAAAATGTTTCCCACAGAACACCAGAGAGCGCTTTGGCAAAGAGCCCGGTGAATGTGAAGAGGAGGAGCTACAGGAGATTCTGGTGTGGATTCATTTAATGGGGATGATTAATGCAAAAAAAATAATAAATAAAATAATAATAATAATAATAATAAAGTAAAAATTCACCATATAATAAATGGGACCTGGAATTCTCCATATTGTTTCGTAATAAATCCATGTGTCATTCATTCATTCTTGAAAATACAACCAAAAATAAGAAAACGTTTCCCGTTTCCGTGACTAAAACTGAGATACCGGACTAAACCAGGACTAAACCAGTCTCAGTCCTGGTCTGGTCCCGGTGTCAGTCCCAGTGTCAGTCCTGGTCTGGTCCCGGTCTCAGTCCCGGTCTGGTCCCAGCTTGGGCCAGATCTCAGTCCCGGTCTCAATCACGGTCTGGTCCCTGTCTCAGTCCTGGTCTGGTTCCAGTCTCAGTCCTAGTCTCCAGTCCCGATCTCTGTCCCAGTCTGGTCAGGGTCTCAGTCCTGGTCTCAGTCCTTATCTGGTCTGATCCTGGACTTAGACTTGGTCTGGTCCCAGTCTCAGTCCTGGTCTCAGTCCCAGTACGGTCCCAGACTGGTTCCAGGCCTGTTTTAGTCCTGTTTCAGTCCTGGTTTAGTCCTGGTTTAGTCCTGTTTTAGTCCTGGTTTAGTCCTGGTTTAGTCCTGGTTTAGTCCTGGTTTAGTCCTGGTTTAGTCCTGGTTTAGTCCTGGTTTAGTCCTGGTTTTAGTCCGGTTTCAGTCTGGTTTAGTCTGGTTTAGTCCTGTTTTAGTCCTGTTTAGTCCTGGTTTAGTCTGGTTTAGTCCTGGTTAGTCCTGGTTTAGTCCTGGTTTAGTCCTGGTTTAGTCCGGTTTCAGTCCTGGTTTAGTCCTGGTTTAGTCCTGGTTTAGTCCTGGTTTAGTCCTGCTTTAGTCCTGGTTTAGTCCTGGTTTAGTCCTGGTTTAGTCCTGGTTTAATCCTGCTTTAGTCCTGCTTTAGTCCTGGTTTAGTCCCGGTTTAGTCCCGGTTTAGTCCTGCTTTAGTCCTGCGGCACAAAAGTCTGGCATCGCAGGAAAAGGGAAATGGTCGTTATCTGTTTTTTCCATTACTCAATTAAACACAAAATCGAAAACTGAGAAAAAAAAAAAAAAACAGTTTTGGAGACAAATAATGAAGAAAACATTTTTTTTTTCTTATTTTTGATTTTATACTGAAAAACGAATGAATGAATGAATGATACGATCAGCATTTGGAAACACATGGATATAACCGCTGAAAGGCTTCTTTTTAAATTTCTTCCTTTGTCAAAATATGTTTTACAAACTCTGTCTTAGTTGGACTTGTAAGCTGGTTAATATAGATATTGATATTCTATAGATCAGGGGTTCTTAAATGTTTTGACCAGTGATTCATGACTTTTTCTGTACAAGATAACCCAGAGCCCAATGTCATACTAAACACATTTTATTCTACTCACTATGGGGCTCTGAGAGGAGGTGGTCGGGCTCTACGTTTGGCCCTGGGCATATGGTTAAGAATCACTGCTCTAGATGAATTACCGTATTTTCCGTACTATCAGGCACACTCATAAGCCTCCAACCCCATAAAAAAATGACTGCTCGCCCCACGAATCCACTCAGGTGTCCCAGCACGACTTCAGTAAACTACAAAGCTGCACCAACTGCACAACTGAACAAAGCCCAGAGTCACCGTGAACGCCACAAACAAACAAAACCACTGACCCATCCAACTGTTGTGTTTCCTTTAAAGTCCAGTGTGGTTTATTTCTGAAAAAAGTTCAAAAATAGACCATTTAATGACAGTGCGTATTTGTTTTCCTACTGGGGGCAAGGCGGCACTTCCCAGAGGGCATCAGGGAGAACCTCTTTTTTAAAATGTGCTTCTGGAGCACCTCCTGCTCCATAAAGAGTTGACTTTGGGCATCTGCACGCCTCGTGTCTTTGAGCATTTGAGCCCTCCTCGTAGGAAATAAAATCCAAACTTAAAGGAACAAACCAAAATGATGTTACAAGATGAACCATTACCATTCAAATTTAGAATTACACCAGGGTGCACTGGAGCATCTATTTCGAGTTAATAACTACCAGTCTAGTTAATAACACCAGTATATGCACTAGTGTTGTAGTCAAGAGCGCACTAATCGAGACCAAGACCAGTCCGAGACCACAGCGTCCTGAGACCGAAACAAGACCGAGACTTTTAAAGGCCGAGACCGAGATAAGACCGAGATAAGACCGAGACAAGACCGAGACAAGACCGAGACCACGGCCCATCAAATCCCAATCAAGACCATCTTTATCATTTTCAACACTGTTTTTTGCCATATTTATATAAATGTTTTTTGATATAACAACTGAGTCACTGCGAACACGCCGACAATCCGTTGGTCCCAGACAGCACCCTCCCTACACGCCACAACTGAACAAAGCCCAGAGTCACCGTGAACGCACCAAACAAAGTCCCACTGACCCATCCAACTGTTTCGTCCGTTGCAGTTTATTTGTGAAAAAAGTTTGAAAATAGACCATTCTATGACAGTGCGTGTTATAGCACAGAAAATACGGTAATAACATTTGTGTATAGTATTATTTATTATTTCACATTTTTTCTCTCTTTGTTCAGTCTGAGGTGCTCCCGGACTCAAAAAAAGCCGAGATCTTGGAGTTTCACTTCTGCGACTTCGATCACAGTGAACTGGACCTGGTCAAATGTGGCATCAAAATGTACTACGAGCTCAAGGTGGTCGATAAGTTCCACATCCCCAGAGAGGTACGACTCTGCTGCTGCTACTTTCACTTCCACGTACAGCTCATCTGGCTAATTTGAGTTTTAACGTGCCTATGAAAGGTTGGATGACTCATTTTACTACAGCAGTCAAAGGTGCATTGTGTAACTTTTCTGCTGGAGCATCCGTCACGAGGTTATTTCTGTGGAGATGTCATTGCTCTGCCTGGAATGTTCCACAGTATGACATTAAACAGCTCTACTTTACGTTTTTTTCAATTACAGGTGGTTTTACTGCTCAAAAATAACTCAAAAACAGGCATTGTGACTGTGAGCGGGGTCGCCTCTCCACAGATCTGACCTGTAACTTGGTTTGGTTTGGTCTCCAGATAGATAGAAAGGTTTAATGCCACACTGTGAAACATTCCAGACAAAGTAATAACAGAGAAAAATAAGAGAGAAAAGAGTCTGATGAACTCTCTACAAGGTAATTTACACAAAGCACATTTAAGATCATTATATTTCAGATTTTATGAAAAGTTTTAAATGTTTTTCTCCAATTTGGCCATTTTTAGGTTTAAAATTTTACTTCCTAGTTGTAAATCAAGACATTACACGAGGGAATTCCATAACTGTGTAACGCCCACACTGAGCGCAGGAGTTTATCAATCAAAATGAAGTAACGGATTCTTCTGTACTACTATCACCCTTTAATTAGTCTGCTTGTAATAAATAAAATGAAACAAAGGCAAAGGTATAGGCTGCTTTGATTATTAGGCCACTTAGTGCAACTTAAATTTCAAAGTCCATAACAACACCCCATTAAAGTTTTATTTTCCATGCGAATGCCCAACCATAGTCATTCATTCATGGGACTTATTTAGTCCAGACCTATGTCCGAATAGAAGTGTCTTTAAATTTCAAATTAGCAATCTCCAAAATTATTTGGTTATTCCTCAGCACCTTTTAAGTGGTCCAGATCGGTTCAACTTGGGTTTTAGGCTACGTTCAGACTGCAGGGCTTAACGCTCAATTCCGATTTTTTTGTGAAATCCGATGTTTTTGCGAGGTCGTTCACATTTCCAATTAAATGCGACTTGTATGTGACTCCAGTGTGAACGTTAAACGGTCCAAAAGACGACGACGTCAACCTCAGTGAGCGTGCTCTGTGTTTACAGAAGTTGTCCAAACATTGAGCATCGAGCACCTGGAGATTTTAAAGTTCCTCTCGTACCGGAGCCAGAACATGAACAACTTACTTGTTTTAAAGAGGAGATTGAGAAGGAGAAGGACAAGGTTTTTGGCCGTGGTGTTTTGTGGGACAGCGGCAGCGACGTCTGTTGAAAGGAACGTGTGGATGTGGAGACGGAGCCAAGAGTGGTGAGTGGTGATGTGCTTCACTTCAGTGACATGGAGTTCATTAATAATTTTCTCCTACTTCAGCGCAGAATAGTGACGTTTGTGGCTTGTTGATAACGTGTAGGTGGATGAATGCACTTTGACCATTCAGACTGAAGTCACATGTCAAAAGATCAGATATGTATCGGTTTCAGGAGCACATATCCAAGTGTCCTGGGTCACATTTGAAAAAATCAGATCTATGTCGTTCAGACTGTCATTAAAAGATCAGATTAGATCAGATACAGGTCACATAGAGGCCAAAAAATCGGATTTAAGTCACTTCAGGCTGCAGTCTGAACGTAGGCTACATTCAGACTGCAGCCTGAAGTGACTCAAAGTCGCATTTAATTGGAAATGTGAATAAAAATCAGAATTGAGCGTTAAGCCCTGCAGTCTGAACGTAGCCTTAGTCTGTGTTACGTCCTGTAGGTCCCGAACAAACGCCAGCGGCACAGCGGTGACTTGGGGCGACCTGTGTGCGCTCACACGTGCACTCATATTTACCATTAGGCAGGCACGTCTCAGCTGACGATCGAATAAACAATAACAGAAAATAGCGGCCATATGGCACTTTAGAAATAATGAAAATATCTACAACTCATGCTGCCTGTGCTTCAACTGTTACCTAGCAACCATGTGGTATACGCTGGAGCAAAACTCCTCGAATATACATAAAGATTTTTATTTGGCAAAAAAAACAAAAAAAAACTTCTTTTTGTTGAAACAATGCTTAAAATATTGGGGAAAATGTTTCTTGTGCATGAATTGTGCAGAACATTTGGACAGAATTCTCCCAGTGTGATGTCATCTCTGAAACACAACTTTTTTCAACCTTTTTTTACAAATTGCTTCTTGATTTGTGTGAAATTATCATTTATATTTACAACAGGTATTCTACCACCAGATTAAGTTAGAATTATAGAATCATCAGAACCTGTTTTATGCACTTAAAGGTAACTCTAATATTTTGGTTGGGGGTTATCACCTGCTTGTTTCTATGGAGATGTCATTGCTCTGCCTGGAATGTTCCACAGTGTGACATTAAACAGCTCTACTTTACATTTATTCAGTTACAGGTGCAGGTTTTAACACTCAAAAACACCTCGAAAAACAGACATTCTGAGTGTGAGCGGGGTCTAACTTGGTCTGGTTTGGTCTCCATGAAGATACAAATGTTTAATGCCATACTGTGAAACATTCCAGACAAAGCAACAACACACTGAAACAAGCCAGAAAAGTTCACATCGTAAATCCATACTTTGTTCAGTTGGAGAGTTTTGAGGCTTGTCCTTAAACGACCACCTCGCTGTGAGTCCAGGAAGCACAGAGATCAAATTGAAATTGAAATTCTATTGTCTTATTGAGTCTTGAGCGTTTGAAGCGACCGTGTGACCTTCCGTTCGTCTTTATTGACTTTGTTTCATTAGTATGAGTCCCTTCATCTTTTACTGCCCCTTGGATCATGGTTCATAACGTCATATTTTGAGCTTTAAGTTCTTTCTCTTGATTGTTTTAAAGTTGTTTTTTATGAATGTCTAACCCAAAAGACACAGTTATTTCTCTTGTGTATTTGATAATTAAAAAAAAAAAAAAAAAAAAAAAAAAGAATGCTTTGACAGTTAAAATAGATTTGACAATAAGGCTACGTTCAGACTGCAGGGCTTAACGCTCAATTCCAATTTTTTTGTGAAATCCGATGTTTTTGTGAGGTCGTTTACATTTCCAATTAAATGTGACTCCAGTGTGAACAATAAACAGCCCGAAAGCGTGCTCTGTGTTTACAGAAGTTGTCCAAACATGGACGCAGCATTGAGCACCTGGAGATTTTAAAGTTCCTCTCGTACCGGAGCCAGAACATGAACAACTTACTTGTTTTAAGGAGGAGATTGAGAAGGAGAAGGACGAGGTTTTTGGCCGTGGTGTTTTGTGGGACAGTCTGATGAAAGGAACGTGTGGATGTGGAGACGGAGCCAAGAGTGGTGAGTGGTGATGTGCTTCACTTCAGTGACACGGAGTTCATTAACAATTTCCGCCTACTTCAGTGCAGAATAGTGACGTTTGTGTCTTGTTGATATCGTGTAGGTGGATGAATGCACTTTGGCCGTTCACACTGAAGTCACATGTCAAAAGATCAGATATGTATTGGTTTTAGGAGCACATATCCAAGTGTCCATTTGAAAAAATCTGATCTGTGTGGTTCAGACATTCAGTCATTAAAAGATCAGATACAGGAACATAGAGGCCAAAAAATCAGATTTGCGTCACTTCAGGCTGCAGTTTGAACGTTCGTCTTAGATCCTATTTTGTTGAAAAGTAAACCTCTCTCATTTAATGTCATATTGAGAGAAAATCAAACTGCTCTGAGGTCTCGACCATTATCCACACTGAGGGCTATTGGTTGGGGGCCCCTACAGGTTGGGGGACCCTAGGCGGCCGTCTACTGTTGCCTAATGGCGGCGCTGCCTCTGATGAGTTTAAAACCGTTTGCAGTGGTCCAAAGTTGTTTACTTACCTTATACATTTACAGTATCCTCATTATTCACCACCAGTGTTGGGAGTAACGCGTTATAAAAGTAACATATTACTGTAATGTGTTGCTTTTTGCTGTAACGCAGTAATGTTCGGCATTACAGGGAAAACAATAGTAATGTTTTAATCAGTACAAATGTCTGTAATGCATGTCACAATGCTTTTTTAACTTGGATTGAAGTGGTGGGTTTTTCGTTTTTCTTCATACAAATTCGCTAAAATCACAGTGATATCAGCAGCAGTGAAACCCCGGAGACTCACCCACGTAGACCGTCAGGTGACTGCGGGCGAAACGACCGGCGCAGAACTCCACGCTCCACAGAGCTAATCGCAGCTGACGCTCAATCACGCTTTGCAGATACTCTGCTCCATGGGCTCAGGGTTCTCCCAGGCCTGGTTTAGTCCTGGTTTAGTTCTGGTTTAGATCTGGTTTAGCTCTGGTTCAGTTCTGGTTTAGTTCTGGTTTAGACCTGGTTTAGTTCTGGTTTAGACCTGGTTCAGTCCGGGTTCAGCTCTGGTTCAGTTTTGGTTTAGTCCTGGTTTAGTCCGGGTTCAGTTCTGGTTTAGTCCTGGTTCAGTCCATATACGGTGCAAAAGCGCAGCATCTTCACAGTTATTTTGGTGTGAGTATGTTAAAAGTGCTGTAATAGTCGTGTCATGTTTTACATTTTAAACACAATAATATTGTCATGTTATAAATGACTTTGAAATGACAGTAACAAATCATAAATAACACATTACAGTTTTAAAGTCACTTGCCCAACAGTGTTCACCACAATGAGTTTCTAAGCACTTTCCAGAGACTAGGATGCTAACCATGCACTTCCTGATTCCCAGACAAGAAAACACTTTAGAATAACACGCAGACGGTACACAGTGGACTTCTTTTGAGCTGAAGAGCTGCTTTAACAATATATCTGGACTGTTGTGGCTGCTCTAGTCCTACATGACACATGATGGGGCTTTCATATAAATAAGATTCAATTTATAGTTGTTTGTTTTTGTTTAGTTGTTTGTTTATAGTTTGAATGTGTTTTTGTGCTGCAGGTTCTGGTGAGGTTCATGTATTCTGTGAGTAAAGGCTACAGGCGCATCACCTATCACAACTGGAGACACGGGTTCAACGTGGGACAGACCATGTTCACTCTGCTCATGGTAAAGACTTAAGGGCTCAGAATTAACACTGTATTATTGACATTATTAACACGGAACTCTAGAGACTTTGCAGCTGATCCACATTCCCTGGGGGTGTGACGTTAACTGAAAACATTGCCCTGTTACTCAAGTAAAGGCCACACACACAACAGGATTTTTTGGTCTCAAACAATTTTTAAACGTGCGACAAAACACAGACTCCACAGACACGAGGAGAATCTTATGAGACTTAAAATCTCTTATCAAAAAGACTTCAGCTCTGTACCGCTGGTTAAACCTCCTGAGCTTCCTCTGCTAAAGGAGCTCATGGTTGTTTATTTAATTTAATAAACCAGGAAAAATACAAAGTAAAATTTAGCATTTGCTTATTTGTAAAATTATGTCAAGAAACCGGGATTCTCCATTTGATCATGTATACAGGGATATGAGTGTCCTGGTTTCTCAGCGCACATGTATACACAGTATCCTGAATACTACCATAACCAGAATATGGCTAATAACTGGGATACTGATGTGCTTGAATGTGCACTGAATAGGAAAACATATACAAAATATGTGTACAAAATCCCTCAGTCATCCAGAAAGAGTGCATGGCAAAGGAGAAATTCAACAGAACTTTATTTTGGTCAAAAACATTTCTCATCCAAGGTGAACTGAAGCAGTTAGAACTGAGTTAGAACTGAAGAAGCAGCTTGGATGAGCTGCAAAATGTTTTAGACCAAATAAACTTTTGTCCAGTTGACAAATTGAATTTTTCCTTTGCCATATACAAAATATATATACTGTAAATTCCAGACTATAATCTTTTTTCTCACTCTTTGAACGCTGTGGCTAATAACACGAAAAAAGTAACACGGAGCTTTATGTTTACCTTCGTCTTGATTCAAAGTCATTTCTCAGTTAATCCTCACTTTACCCACAGGCCGTAGATACATGCAAGCCAGGATGTACTTTTTCATTTCTGTACTCGCTGTTGAATTTCTCCCGTCGACCGTGAACCTTCTTTATTGAATTCTTTACTTGTGGAATTGGCTGTATCTGGGCGCGCGGATTGAGCACAGTGCATTCTCCCTGTGTCCTCCGTGTGTTTGTTTGAGGTACAGTAGATACAGAGCTGGTGTTTACAGAGAGCCAGTGGGGCCTGAACGCAACACGATTCAAGCCACAGAGTTTGATTTCACTCGACTGCAGTAAGTGAATATGTGCAGTTATTAAAGAAAGGCCCATCCGAGGATTCAAATCTAATTGAGAAGGCAAATATATTTCATATTTATAAAGAACTATTCACGCACAAATAACCCTGACTTTTCACAAAGATACTACTGCTACTGCTACTACTACTACTGCTACTACTACTACTACTACTACTACTGACTACTACTACTACTACTACTGCTACTACTACTGACTACTACTACTACTAACTACTACTACTGACTACTAACTACTACTGACTACTACTGCTACTACTACTACTACTGCTACTACTACTACTACTACTGACTACTACTACTGCTAAAACTACTACGACTACTACTACTACTACTACTATTACTACTGCTACTACTACTACTACTACTGCTACTGCTAAAACTACCTTGTTTTTTTGTTTTTTGACTGCTAATACTACTACGACTACTACTACTACTACTACTACTAATAACGCGATTACTACTACGACTTACTAATGCAGCTACTACTGCTACTACTACTACTACTACAATTACTACTACTACTACTACTACTTCTGCAGCTAATACTACTACTACTGCTACTACTGCTACTACTGCTAACTACTATTGCTACTACTATTGCTACTATTTCTCCCACTACTACTGCTATGACAAGTACTACCACTACTACCACCATTACTATTTCTAGTATTACTGTTACTACTACTACTAACACTTTTACTAATGCTACTACTACAACTGCTAATACTGCTACTACTGCTGCTACTACTACTACTACTACTACTGCTACTGCTACTACTAGTACTACTACTTACCTTATATATTCTGATGCTGATATATTCTTAATTACAAAAACACTGGACATGATCTCCATTTATTGATAATTTTTATAATTTGTTGTTTTGGTTCTCAATGATTATCCAATCAGAAAACAGAATGAGCGTCACATGATTCATTTGACACTTTACCAAAAAAAAAAAGACAAGTTAAAATCAAGTATAAAAGTGCAGAAATATCATATACCACTGTGCATCCTGATAATAAAGGTTATATTCTGTTCTATCTACATGTAGTAAGCTATTTTTAATATATATACTTTTTATTATAGTTATTTAAGTAATAGCCTTTCAGTTCTGCAGATTTTATTCTCTAGTTCCAAGCTCAAATATCTTGAGATCAGTTGGAAGAAGATGTGACAAGATACATTAAATCACATTGTTGACTTGTGACCTAAATAGTTGTTCCATACAGCTCAGATCACATTATGTTTGATTGATTGAATGTGTGTTTCTTTCAGACTGGAGACTTGAAGCGTTACTACACAGACCTGGAGTGTATGGCCATGGTGACGGCTGGATTCCTTCACGACATCGACCACAGAGGAACCAACAACCTCTACCAGATGAAGTGAGACGAGACAATGAGAAAAAATTATATTAAAAGAAATATTTAAAGGTGTATTTTTTCTCCATGGAGATGTTGGTTTGAGTACGACATCAAACACATCTATCCTTCATTTATTCTTTACTTGTGTTTCTGTTGCTCAAAAATGCAACAATTCTCTCTGTGAATAGGGGCGACTCCACAGATCTGACAGGTTTAAAGGGCCCGTCTCATGCAAAATCAACTTTTCAGACTTTTCTTTCTACCTTCTAAGAGTGATGTGTGGGCCGAAGTGGTTTTTAGATTGAGTCGGCTTTTTTTTTTACAAATTGCAGCATATTTCTGCCCCCCTCCCACGCGACAACGAACTAAAGCTTCTACAACAATGACGCGGCAGATACACCTATGACGCGTTTGACGTAACAGAAAGCACCTCACACCCTCCCCCTTCCCCCACTGTGTTGTGTTTAAATGAAGAATGGAAAAAACGGGTAACGACCGTTTCCCGTTTACGTGACTTCCGTGACTGCGATACCGAACTTTTGCACCGTGTACGGACTGAACCAGGACTGATCCACGTCCAGGACCAGAGCGGGACCAGGGCGGACTCCGAGCTTTGACTCCGAGCGTCCGCGGGGTCCGAGCCTCAGCTTCTAGACAAAGAGCAGCTCTGTTCAGGCCGGGCTCAGATGAGCTGGAGCGGGGAATGGTGTTAGGAGCCTCGGCCTGAGAAGCGCTTTTCCCCGGGAAGAGCCAATTGCGAAGGACGAATGGTCAAAACAATATAACCAACCAAAATGGACTCACGCTTCTGTCCGGATGCTTTGCACCACCCCGGAACCAGCTGCAGTTCTTGAGCACGGAGGACCGGAGCAGCCCGTCTGGACCTGTAGTCCACAGCGCATTCTCGCTTTCCCCACACGGAACCAGCGAGCGGACGATGACATGGTACCACTCGGACCGCTGTTCTCGGTCTCAGTCCCGCTTTGGTCCCGGTCTGGTCCCAGTCTCAGTCCCGGTCTGATCCTGGCCTGGTGCCGGTCTGGTCCCAGTCTGGTCCCAGTCTGGTCCCGGTCTCACTCCCGGTCTCACTCCCGGTCTCACTCCCGGTCTCACTCCCGGTCTCACTCCCGGTCTCAGTCCCGCTTTGGTCCCGGTCTGGTCCCGGTCTGGTCCCGGTCTGGTCCCAGCCTCAGTCCCGGTCTGGTCCCGGTCTCACTCCCGGTCTCACTCCCGGTCTCACTCCCGGTCTCACTCCCGGTCTGGTCCCGGTCTCTCTCCCGGTCTGGTCCCGGTCTCACTCCCGGTCTGGTCCCGGTCTCACTCCCGCTTTGGTCCCGGTCTGGTCCTGGTCTCAGTCCCACTCTGGTCCCAGTCTGTCCCGGACCTGCATCAGTCCTGGTTCAGTCCGTATGCGGTGCAAAATTTAACCACAAAATCGAAAACTGAAAAAAAATGAATCGTTATTTGTTTTTTCATTTTGGTTTTGGAAGCAAATAATGAAGAAAACTGTTGTTTTTTCCTTTTCTTATTTTTAGTTTTATATTGAAAAATTAATGAACAAATGATACACGGATTCACAAGATTTCGTGAGACAAAATCGCCACAAGATCATGCACACATCACAAAAATGATCTTGTGAGATTTTTTTTCCATGTGTTTACATTTAGATTGAACAAAAAATTACACGTTGGTGAGCAAAAAGCAGGTCTAGAATGGAAACAAAACTATGAAATGAAATAATAACAAATGTAAATATTAGAAATTATGTTAAAATCTTGTCTTAATGTCGTGGACCCAATCGCGTATCTCATCTAGTCTTGTGGAAATTTTGTCACGCCCATCTTTACTAACGACCTTATAACAGTGTCTCAGTCCGTTACAGAGACAAACTGCTGTGTTGAGTTTTGCAGGTTGTTAATTGACTCAAAGCGACGGCAGTCACTCCTCTTGCCTCTCTATATCTCTTCATCTGACATGAACCTGACACGCCCCCTTGTGGTACAGCCCGTCTGCTACACCCCTGTGATGGATGGGGCAGAGTGAGGAGCCGTTAGCGTTAAGCAGAGACAGGAGAAGGCCCACCCGGAGAGCTCCAGACCTGATATATAACACTCACCTCCTCCGAAAACGTCCGCCCTCTCTGCCTCTGTGTGGAAGATCATTTGTTCCATTAGATTTGGATTTTTAACTCTGAAAAAAACATGCTTGGTTTATTTTTATTCAGAATTTTTATTGCTGAAATGTTAAGTATACTATTTCAGTTTGTTTCAAATTCAAAATAAAAAATTAATCTCTTAAATATTTAGCAAATTTTTAAGCGCTCAAATTCAACAGTCACAATATATGCATCACAAATTTGTTTGCGAACTCCATAAATGCAAAAGTGAATCAGATGTGTGTGACTGAAAAACTCTGTTCAAACTGTTTCCCTTCCCAACGGAATTGAAAAATAGTGAAAGGTGAAGGTTACTGGTTCTGTTACTGGCTTGTCTCCATGGAGATATACATGTTTTATACCACATTAAGGGAGAATCCAGTAAAAATAACATCAGTTTGGAAACAAAAGCAGGGGGCAGATAGCCAGGCTGGCGCCACGTAGTGCCTCTGCTCAGTTTCATTTCTCTCCAGCAATAGGTCAGGAATCAGAACACACTAGACCAGAAGTGTTAAACTCAAATTCACAGAGGCCAAAATTAAAAACTGGGACTAAGTCATGGGCCAAACTAAATATTTATTGAAAAATTTCAACAACATCTGCATGATTTCTCTTCTTTCAAGATAAGAAAGGTAATGTTAAACCTTTTCTTATTAAAATAAATGTTTAATAATAGTTTTGCTTAAACACTGAATCCAGAACAAACATACTATAAAATAATAACAAAAATAAATAATGTGTCTATAGCCTATGGTGAGCAGCTCTAATACATATTTGATATGATCTTGGGGGTCAAATATAATTATATCGCTAAATTTGGCCCCCGGGCCTGAGTCTGACAGGTCTGCACTAGACGGTTTGCAAGAACTGCGAGTTTGGCGGCACCAGCCAATCAGCGAAGAGTCATACATTCTGTGTTGGCAACGTTTCCCGAGATCGAAGATTTAAAGGCAGAACAAAGAGAATGTTGGGTGAATTTTATCAAGAGGAAAGATGTTATTGTCCTTCTTCTTATGGGATTTGGGAAAAGCTTAATATACCAGGTATCCCCATTATGACGACCAAACAGCAGCGATTGGTTAAATGAAAAAAGTGCCCACCTACTGCTGAGCGAATGAATTCTAACACTCCGAGGTCAGACGGTTTCTACGAAGTGAAACCGGCTGATGAATCAGACTAGGTGGGGGACTCTTCACTTGAAAATGTACAGAATACACCTTTATAATCCAAGAAAAATGGCAAGTGAGTGAGTATTGGGTGAAATAATTGTGTTAATGTGATGTCTTGAACCAAAACACCAAATTATAACATAAATAACTTGGCCATCATGTCCAATGGTTTTATAAGTAACATTTCATCAGTATTCACATTGTTGTCATTAAAAAACTATTTTTGATTTAAACACGTTGACCTAATATCTGCAAACACAGACAGCTCAAGTTTATGACATTTAAAATCTAAATGTTACACACAGACCCTTAAACTTTCTGCTCTTGTTCAAAGGGGAGAGAAGGTGCAAAACTACTCCACTGCTAACTAGAATCCTCCTCCTGCTGCACCTGAATAATCTCTAACTCCACCTCCTCTTTGTTTTTCTCTGCTCAGGTCTGGAAACCCTCTGGCGAAGCTGCACGGATCCTCCATTTTGGAAAGGCACCATCTGGAGTTTGGGAAGACGCTGCTCAGAGACGAGGTAATAAATCATAAAAATACAGCACTGCCTTATTCATCTTTTTTTTTCCGTAAATTCAAAGGTCCTATATTACGCAAAATTCCCTCTTGTGAGCTTTGAATCATGTTATAATCGTGTCGTTACCTCCACAAAAACAGACCTTTAGAACACAGATCTGAAAATATCCTAACATGGGCCCTTTAAAACGACTATAATCAGTGTTGGGAAGGTGACTTTTAAAATGTATTCCCCTACAGATTACAGATTACATACCCCAAAATGTAGTTTGTAACAGAATCCATTAAATTACTTAAAGGGAGTGACGTAATCTGAATACTTTGGATTACTTGATTTGCTGTAGAGAAGCAAAGTCGAGGAAATCGTAACATAAGATGTTTTGACTGTTAAAAGAAAATAAAAAGCCAAGACTTTATTAATATTTTTAATAAGGTTAAGTAGAGGAGGAGACACATCCACGCAGCATGATTTAGTCCTGTTAAATCCTGTGAAGTCCTGGTTTAGTCCTGGTTTAGATCTAGTTTAGATCTAGTTTAGTTTCCGGCAATGAGTGGAATTACCGAGAAAAAAAAAAAAAAGCCCAAAAATGTGAACATGTAATCCATTTATTTCAACAAATAACTGTAATCCCATTACCACTCACTGAAACAGTAACTGTAACCGAATAGTTACTCATAATTTGTACTCTGATTACGTAACTCCAGTACATGTAATCTGTTACTCCCCAACACTGACTATAAACAACATTAACACTAACTCAACAGTAAAAAAAAAAAAAAAAAAAGTAGTTATTTTGTCATTTTCAGGTCTGTCATTTTTATTCAGCTCATCAAAATGCTAATCTGTGGATTTATTGTTCAGTTTAGATCTTTAGTTTTAATATCCCAGGTGGAAAATGGGTTTCTAAGCATAAAATCCTCTGAAACAATTGCCAAAAATAAGTAGTTTTTAAATTTTAGCAAATAAAAACTTTACTGCATGGTACTTCACAAAACTTTCCTCTTTGTAAATGGTTGATATTGAGTGTGTGTTTGTCTTTGTGAGGCCACTGGGACAGAACGGGAGTAATACAGAACTTTATGAAGTGCTTGAGTATTCTAGAAATTACGGAAGCTGAGAGATGTCGCAACAAATACAAACGCCGCAACACATTAAAAAGCCACAATGGAAGTGACCGCAGGACTCGATTTTTTGGACCGATCAAGCAGCAAGTGAAGAAGAAGAACTACAACGTGAAACGAATAATGATAAAACAATAAATGACTTTTACTTACGTTTCCTTTACTTTTTACGTTGTAGTTCTTCCTCACTTGCCGCTTGATCGGTCTGTCGGAAAATAGAGTCCTGCGGTCACTTCCGTTTTTTTTTTGGTTTGTTGTGGCTTTTTGTTGTGTTGTCGCATTTGTATTTGTTGTGACCCCTCTCGGCTTCCGTAAGAACTTTGAGTGTCCAGAAAAGCGCAATATAAAACAGATGCATCATTATTATTATTATTATTATTATTATTATTATTTTCTGCCAAGGAGGTTATGTTTTTGACGGCGTTTGTTTGTCTTTTAGCAACATAACTCAAAAAGTTATGACCCGATTTTGATGACATTTTCAGGATTTGTTGGAAATGTGAAAAGGAAGAACTGATTTCATTTTGGGGGTGATCCGGAAGAAATCCTGGATCACTTTGAAATTTTAGTTAACATTGTGGTAAATGGGGCCAAAAATTTTGTTTCTCAATATCTCGGTTAATTATTGACCAAACCCCATGAAATTTGACTCAGTGATGGACAATGGGATCCTCTTTCATATTCCAAAGGCTGATCCGGATCTGATCCAGAAGACTGATTTTATAGCAATTTATATCAAAAATGGGTTTAGTCCTTGGCGGAGGTCTGCGCTCTCTGAGTGCTTTTCTAGTTATTTTTATGAAGTAGGCTTTTTAGATCTGGGGGGGGCAGACTAAAAATACAGGAATATGTTTATGCAGTGTTGGGGAGTAACAGATTACATGTACCGGTGTTACGTAATCAGAGTACAAATTATTAGTAACTGTATTCAGTTACAGTTATTGTTTCAGTGAGTGTTTTAACAAAGTAAATGTAATCCAATTACCAAATTGATTACATGGCGGTATTTTCCTGTTTTCACATTTTGGGCTAAACCAGGACTAAACCAGGACTAATCTAATACAATATGACAACAGTAGGATGGACATAATTGTGATTTCATATAAATATAATTTCTCTATCAATAATATTTTTAATCTGGTCAAATAAAGACTGAACAAACAGGACTTTTCAGGATGTGGTTGGTACATTCACGTGGTTTAAAAAAAAACATGACAATATCAAGTAATCCTAAATACTCAGATTACGTTACTCACTTTAACTTAATGGATCACGTAACAGGAAGTGCTCGCTTAGCATGCTGAATAATAAGGATGCTCAATGGATAATGTAAGTGAGAAAGAACGTTGGACCACTGCAAACCTTTTAAAATGAACTAGTTCTTTTTTTAACGTTTTTAAGACCGTTAAAAAAAAAAAAAAGATACAGCTTCTTTAACTCTTTTTTTTTTTTGTATGTTCCAGTCTTTAAACATTTATCAAAACCTTAATCGGCGCCAACACGACCTCGTCCTTCACCTGACGGACATCGCCATCATCGCCACGGACTTGGCCCTGTACTTTAAGTGAGTTTCACACAGTATGTAAAACACAGGCTCCTATCTGCTACATGTGTCTCGGTGAAAAATGGCCCACGCACAGGAACATTAAAGAAGAATACCACGTGTGAGGGGGACGCACTTGTCCGCAACACGTGTTATTAAATTCAATCAATCTCATTTTCAGCACAGTGTGAGGAGTCATTAATAACAGTGAAGTGTGGAGTAGTACTGGACCAGCCAAGACCGTCTCTATCCGCGGGTTTAAAAATGAAAATAGAGCACTGTTGGCGAAGCGATTTACAATTCAAAACATAATATTATATCTTTGAACGGTAAAAAGTCCTCAAAATGTCACCTGCAAATTGGAAACTGAAGTTCATGAATATTTTATACAAAAACTCCCGTCTCTTGTCTCAGTTCGTGAAATTTCTTTAAGACTGAAAGATGGATTAACCACTAAACCCGGACTAAACTAAGACTAAACCAGGACTAGACCAGGATTGAACCACGACTAAACCAAGACTAAACCAGAACTACTCCAGGACTAAACCAAAACTAAACTAGGACTAAACCAGGCCTGAATCAGGATCTAATCCAGGAGTACACCAGGAATAAACGAGGACTAGAACAGGACTGAATCAGGATCTAATCCAGGACTGAATCAGGATCTAATCCAGGACTGAACCAGAACCTAATCCAGGACTGAACCAGAACTAGAACAGGACTAAACCAGGATCTAATCCAGGATTAATCCAGGACTAAAACAGGACTAATCCAGGACTAGACCAGGACTGAACCAGAACTAGACCAGGACTGAACCAGAACTAGACCAGGACTGAACCAGAACTAGACCAGGACTGAACCAGAACTAGACCAGGACTGAACCAGAACTAGACCAGGACTAAACCAGAACTAAACCACGACTAACCCAGAATTAAAGACTAAACCAGGACTAGAACAGGACTAAACCGGGACTAGAACAGGGACTAAACCAGGTCTACATGAGAGACGTATTGGGGCTCATCAATAACCAGCCACCAGTTGTTTTTTTCCCCCCCGTAGACTTCAAAATAAAAAGTGAAATAAAAGTATGAGAGCTCAGGGCCAATCAGCTGTGTGTTAATGTATAACTCCAAGACATAATAGATCATTTTGTTTTGTGAAACTTGAAGTATGCTTGAACATTATGATTACTCTAAACTTGAACGTGTCTGTTATTGTTCGTAGAAAGAGGACCATGTTTCAGAAGATCGTGGATCAATCCAAAACCTACGAGAACTGGAACGAGTGGACCAAGTACATGCAGCTGGAGATCACACGCAAAGAGATCGTCATGTAAAACTCTTCAGCGTCATTGTACTCGCTTCGTGCTCTGTGTTTACTGCTCCTCCAGAACCAGAGCACCGACCCACCCCCAGCTCCACCAGAACCAGAGCCTCGGACCCACCCCCACTCCTCCAGAACCAGAGCCTGGACCACCCCCGCTCCACCAGAACCAGATCCCCGACCACCCCCCAGCTCCTCCAGTACCAGAGCCTGGACCACCACCCCCCAGCTCCTCCAGAACCAGAGCCCCGGACCCACCCCCAGCTCCTCCAGTACCAGAGCCCCGACCCACCCCCCAGCTCCTCCAGAACCCCCGACCCACCCCCCGTTCCTGTGTAACTTTTCTGGTAGTGGGCCTGCCAGTTACTTGTCTCCATGGAGATGTTATTGCTTGACCTCCAATATTCCAAAGTATGGCATTACACTTTTCAGTGTCCAAAGAAACAAGCAGGAGATGTAAAAACACTCAGAACTGAATAGACTGCTTGTATATAAGTTTAATACCATATTGTGTAACATTACAGGCAAAGCAATAGCATCTCCATGATAACGGACCTCCAGTCTGAAAAGTTACGTAGTGCACCTTTAAGATTAGGGCCAGGGTCAGGGTGGGGGTTATGGATTTACTTACTTTCTCCTGGTTAAATATTTGTGAGCACACAATATTTGCTAGTTTCTTTTAATTGAATTTGAAGTCAAAATGAAATTAAAAATATTCTTTACTGTCGTCACAGGGCCATGATGATGACAGCGTGTGATCTGTCCGCCATCGCTAAACCCTGGGAGATCCAGAGCAAGGTTTGTCAAACTGTTGTTCTGATACCATTTTTGGGAGATACTTAGCCTCAGTGTACTCACCAATACCAATACCAGTCTGATACCTCACAGTGGGAAGAAGCAGAATTTAGATTTTATAACAGGGCAAGAGCAAAAAATCTCTAAAAGAAAATGGACAAAAATGTGATTCTGAAATAGTGTGACCAGACGTCCCTATTGACCCGGGACAGTCTCCGTTTTGAGCCCTGTGTCTCCTGTCCCAGCAGATTTAACCAAAACCATCAATTTGTCCCAGTTTTATAAAGAAATGTCCCAGCCAGGTGTCCCTATTTTTGACTAATGTGATCCCTGGTGAGAGTAAAGAGGAAAATATTGTAATTTGTTTAGCTAAAATACAGAAAACCATGCTTGAAAATGACCATAAGGCAAAGAAATGTGCTCAGAATGGATACTTTGACACACTCTTCTCACAGTCATACTGTATGTATATCAACCATCCTAACCCAGGTACATCCCAGTTCATTATTTTAAAAAGCTGGTCACCCTGTTTTGAGGGTTTAAGTATTAGAGTCATATGTATCATGATTTAAGGACTTTGGCTTTCTACTCAGTGCGTGGATAAAACCAACAGTGAGGCCTGTAAAAAGACGTTCATCCTCGGAGCACACGGATTGAACAATGAACATTACAAAAAGCATAAAATCAGCAAACGGAAAGCACAAAAACAGACAGTGATGCAAACAATCTAATTATAATAAATACAAAGAAATAGAATAAAAAGAAATAAGGGGGGAAAAAAAAAAAAATCAAGAAGTGATTTAAAAGATGATAGTGATGGTGTGAGCCTCATCTCAGACAGGTCGTTCCAAAGCCAAGGCGCCCAGAGTGAAAAAGCTCCATCACCTTCGTCCGGATTGTGGACTTTGGAACAGCCGCAGTGACCTGCCTGAGGATCTGCGGCTGTGAGACACTCGTACGGGGTTAAAAACTTCTGAAATGTAACTTAGTGCAAGACCTAAGCTTTAAGAGTGATCAGTAAAATCTTAGGCTACGTTTATATGATGAGGGTCTGAACAGAAGACATAAAAGTGGCATTGTTTTCGGGAGTATACCTGCGTGCAGATGGTGACGTAACAGTGTGGAATTGGATTGTGTATGTTTGTACTTAAAGCAACAAGAGCGTCTTTGGACATACGGAAGTTTTCACTCCGCGCATTTTCATCAGCTCCTCCTCTCACAAAGTTGTTCCACCATCGACTGGTTCTCCAGGTCTCGTCCATATCCGTCTGACTCACCTGCGACGACCTGGTGCATCCAGAATTTGACAGGTGATTGCAGATCCTTCTCTGCTCACTAATAGTATCTCTGTAGATTCTCCACATTTGTTGGGAGCCTCCTCTAAAAAGTGAGTTACTAAAGTGAGTAACGTTATCTGAATACTTTGGATTACTTGGTTTGCTGTAGAGAAGCAAAGACTAAGATATCGTAACATAAGATGTTTTGTCTGCTAAAAGAAAATTAAAAAACCCAGACTTTACTGAACCAAATTTATAAAATAGTATTAATAGTATAGAAGACGAGGAGACACGGTCCGCACGGCATGATTTAGTCCTGTTAAATCCTACTTGAGACATAGTTTTGTCCTGGGTTTAGTGTCCCACAATGAGTGGAATTAAAATTAAAAGCTGTCACCTGGCGGCAGCGCGCAGTGATACGAAAGGAAAGAAAATAGTGCCAAGCGATTAATGAGGTCTGAACTTTAGGCGACGATGGTTTTGTGATGCAAATGTATCAACTCTTTTGAACACATTTTTGTTCAGTTTTGAGAAGAAAAACGCTTTATTATACAGTCCCCAGCCAACTTGCCGGACTACTTTCGTCAGCACCAAAAAACGGTCAGTATCTCGGCTCACCGGACGCTGTCGGGGTAAGTCAGTGTTGATGCACGACACTGCTCACGGGGATGACACAGATTTATGTCAAATATCCTGAACTATTATCCCTTTAATGCCTTTGTCCTATGTTTCAGCCAGATTTACCTGTGTTATAATTAAATAAATAAACGTGGGAATCCCCTTTGAACCCCCCCCACCCCACCCCCCACTACACATGTATCATTAACCTGTATTAGCTCTGTTTTCCTCTCTACAATAACAACAGCCCTCTCCCGGTTGAGTCAGGGCCCACACAGGATTGAGTAGAGTGTGAGTGGCGTTTTGTCAGCGCTGACATTTTTCTCAGCTCAGTTTCGACATTGAATCCTGACAGTTCCATGCATCAAAACTGTTCCCGTCTCTCCCATACTTCCATCAGCATTTTATACGGCGCAAGTATGTAATCTACACACCGCGGTGGAGCCCAGGCGCTCGCGTCTATTTAAAGACAAAATGCACTGACGAGAGCAGCTCAAGAAATATCATTTGTTATATTTGAGAGAGATTTACACAGGACATATACGGCCTCCTCGTTTTTAGAAGAGGTTTCGTCGCTGTTGTGCCTGGTAATGATAATTTCTTTTGATATAGGGTTTTATGACTTTAAAGCAAAAGTCTGTGGGGAACAGTAAATATATGGTACAGAGGAGGAACATAGAATAGACTTGGTTTGGGCCTGTTCTAGTCCCAAATTAGATGTGATGTGTATGTGTGAGTTGCAAATGTAACAGTCAGAGTGTTATTCATCAATCCTTCCTGCAATAAACGCATCAAGAATCTCGGACTTCAGGTCACACTTCCGCAGTGCACACAGAGAAGGATTTTCCAAAAAAGTGAGCATCAGACCGCCATGTTTGTTTTCCCAGTGGGATGCGTCTATTCACAAAGCCAATCTTTTCAAGTCTTTTGAACCATATCACTTTTGTTTCTGGTTCTGATATTGTCATATTTTAGTTTTGGGATTCGAACATCGTAATTGTGTGGTTGTTGGATCCTAACAGCGGAAAACAGCTCGAGAAATTTATTTGTGAACTCCATAACTGCAAAAGGGAATCAGATGTGTGTGACTGCAAACCTCTGTTCAAACTGTTTCCCTTCACAACGGAATTGAAAAATAGTGAAAGGTGAAGGAAACCTCTGACTGCCTAAATCATCCCGAGTTTGCAGAGAACATTTTATATGTGGAGCGCCATGAGATGTAGACGCATCCCACTGGGAAAAACAAACAAAGTTTGATGCTCACTTTTTCAGAAAATCTTTCCCAGTATGCATTGTGCAATGACCGGAAGTCAGAGATTCTTGATGCATCCATTATGAGTATACTTTGGAATGACATCATGCTGGGGGTGACTGTGTTTATGTCTATGGCAGAATGTCCCACAGTTACCATGGTAACACAATGCACAGATTAGCAAACTCAAGAAAAAACAGAAAATTAATTCAAGCAATACAAGCCTTCATGGTCCTGTTAAGGTGTTTTATTTTCAACAACAAAAGTGAGAATGACTTATTGGAGAATGAAATAAAAAAAATTGAAACTGAACATACTAAAACGCTGGAAAAATCTATTATGTTAAAGAGTTAAAAGAAACAAGATCAAAATTAGACAAATTATTAACATTTAAAGGTAGAAAATGCCATAAGGTATATGAATCAAACATTACGAAAAGGGGAATAGAGCAAATAAGTTACTCGCATTTCAACTCAAAAAGAAACAGTCGGAGCAAACAATAGCAAAAATAAGACATCCTGTCTCCAAGGAAATTAAGATAAAACCAACAGATATTGCAGAAGCTTTTGCTGACTACAAAATCTATGATGATCAAAGTACGGAGTCATTAGAAACCAAAATAATGTTTATGAATAAGTTTGAACCCACTTGACACCTGAGCGCACTGGAGTTGACCGGACCAATCACTCTAAAGTGCAATATTTACAATCTGTTAAAAATTTGGAACCGACGGATTCCTCTATAAACTATGGGAGATTGCACCAGTACTAAAAAGAGTATTCTTAGAATCAGGAAATGTCTCTCATCTCCGTCTTCGATGGCATAATGTCTGTGAAGTGATGTTATGTATTTTTGACAGATTTAAAAAGTTCCAAGTCATGTGAAAATTCGAATTAAATTTCGACCAAACTGACCTGAAACGGTGTAATCGTAAATTTTCATTTCGGTGATTGTAATTCATGACTGTCGTAAAATTTTTCAATTCGTTATTCTGATGGATTAAAATACACACTTAATACTATTTATGTAACGACTGAACCATTTGAAGAGTTTACAAACTTTATTATATTAGCGCAATATTAAAAAGCCAAATTTACGCATTGATATTCTATGTATATAATGACCCGCAACATTGAATATTTTTGAAAGCTATTCTATACTCCAGGTACATGTCCCTCTGAAACAAAAAGAGAAGGTTAAATTCAAATGGACTGATGAGGGCTTTAGATATTTGGGCATTAATATTACCAAGAATACATCACATCTTTTTAAAGCCAATTATGAGAAAGTTATAAAAGAAATAAGTGCAGATTTGAAACGATGGGAAATCCTCCCGTTGACATTAATGGGGCGAATAGAAGTCATTAGGATGAATGTTTTGCCCAAATTTTAGTTTTTGTTCCAATCCCTACCCATTCTGCTCTCTAAAGAAACTTTCGCAAAAATAGATAAACTCATATCAATTTTTTTTTATGGAGAAATCAAAAACCAAGAATTCGGTACAAGCTACTTCAGAGCTCTAAAGAAAAGGGTGGCCTAAACTTACCCAACATTAATACTATTGGGCATCACAACTAAGAGCCCTAAAAGTTTGGACTGATAAGGATGATGAGACAGGATGGAGGGAAATGGAGCAAAACTCCTGCCCAAAGGTTCCTCTAGAATCTTTACCATTTCTTACAAAGAAATTACACAAGGATTTAAAAATCAAAAATAAACGGGTTAAAGCAACATTAAGAATATGGAATATAGTAAAAAGAAAATTAAATATGTCTGATTCAATCTATCTATCTATCTATCTGGCATCTTTTTGAAGGTGATCACATGAAATCTTTTGAACAGTTAAAAAAGGAATT